TTCTGACTTGATGTTCAAATGCTGTTGTCATTGTGAAGCTGCATTGGTTCAAAATAATCCATGCAATGTTATGATTGCACTTCAGGTTGAAACTATTCTGCTGAAAATGACACATAGTAGTTACTGTTTTCTTAGTTCTCTGATTGCTCTTTCACGCAACTTTATGTTTTGTGTAAGAAAGCAGCCATCCTCACTCTCTCCATATCCACTAAATTAGCATTTAAACATTTGCTTCACTTGCTTACTGATTGGATTTCATGAAGATGGCTAACAAGCCTCAGATTATTTGCTGCTGCTGTCTGCTCAGTGCACTGATCTTTTCTTTTTCTTTTGTGTGAATGCCTAATGTCTTATCTGCATGGCTTTTGTGTGCTTGTTCTCTACCGGGTGCTCTGCTTGGATGTGGCTGCAATTAAGCAAGGCTGTATGACAAATAACAATGGAGAGGGTGCATGTCTTTGAAAATTAAGTGGGAAACAAAGTGGAGTGGGGAATGTATAAACAGAGCATTTTGATGTTTCGGATTACTCAACACAGGCAGCTGACCTTCAAGTCACTTGCTTCCTTGGTCACCTTCCAATTCAATGCATCTAAAACTCTTAATAAGATATGATGCATACAAATTAAATATTGTTTAATAAGTTTAATTTTACTCAGAAAGCATGTGGTTTAAATTGATTGACTGAAAATGTATGTAATTTAGCTGCTGTTTTCTAAAGCATTGATGAGTCTGCATCTCATGAACTACTTGCAGGATTTTTGGGAACAAATGGTTGCTACTGAGCTAATGCACTCCTTCTTTCTGAGTATCTCATAAAGGTTGATTCATTGTGCTTTGAGTGCACAGCAAAATAGATGCTCTCTCTTCAACTACAGTGCTGAATCCAAGGACTAATTATAACCAGTACATGATGGCTGGGATCTTTGTTCAACATTTGAAAAGCAAGACAGGTTTGTAGGATCATGGTGATTAGCAGGAAGAAATCTTTGATTGGTGATTGCATGTCTGAAAATAACTGAACTCATTAAAACGAATGTTCTACAAAGAAAGATGGAAATGAATTGCTTTAGAAATTATGTTTCTCTGTCTGGATACATATTTCTAAGTACACTAATTGCTATTGAACTGTAAATACAGTAGGGCAAGAGATAGTGAAAGCTTTGTCAACATTAACACAATGATTTAAATGCAGAAAGTGTCCAGGAACATTTTTGGTGGTCTACCAAAGCTCTGGCTGGATTTTCAACCAATTTCATATACAAATTGTAGATCTTATGTGCTTAGACTAGACTTTGAGTGCATTTCATGTAATTGATGTCATACAATTACATTAATGTCACCCTGATCTATCTGCTACAGAACCATCTGCGTTTAAAGATTTAAATGTTAAACTGGAAACAGATTGTGTCTTTGTTGCCGTGCTGTTAAAAGTGTCTAATGGTCAAATTTAAAAACCATTATTCGCTAATGAAGGGACTCTACTTATTCATACCTTCAGTTCAGAAGGTTATTATGTTTATAGATTAAAGTTAAGCGGCGTAACTGTCAGAAAAATATCTGTGTTCAGCAACAGAAGACATAAGTATATAATCAGACATGACTCTCACTAACCTTTTGCAAAATATTCTTAGAGGAAGATTTCTTCTTTAAAATGTTTAGATTAGATTTATACTAGCATTTTTCTTCTCCTGGTCAATATCAGATAAATGTTTGCATTACAGTGTCACACTGAAACTGGATTTTTTTTATATGTCTGGTTGTATTTTCTAGTTACTCTTCTTAAATGTAAGTGCTGCACATCACTTTTGGTTAATAAAAAAATAGGTTAGCATTGAATGTACATTGAAACAGGGAACATCAAAAGGCAGGTTACCAGGTAGTTGCTGCACACATTAAACATTTATTAGCATCTAAATGACGAGCAAAGAGTGGAATATATTTGAAACCACGAAAAGTAAGACACAGACGATAATCACAGTGAAAAACAGCTGAATGCTCTCGGCACATGAAAAGACGAGATTAAAAATAATCCTCTTCAAGTCAACTTTTAAAGCTTCTGCTGCAGCTGGAGAGGCACTGATTAACATTCAAAAAAATAAAAAAAAATTTTAAAAAACCACAGCTAAATTGTAATTGGATGCACAGCTTCACAGCTAACACATTAACTGAAATTAAATTATACACTGATTTTGATGTGAAAAACAAAAAATGATTTATAAGCCATACAGATAGAAAATTATGTGCACAAAAACTAAACATTAAACAGACTTTTGTCTCAAAATCTCAACAAATAAGTTCAAGTAAAAGAAATAGACACATCTTATATAACTGCAGACTTGTTCTTTAGAAAATACACTATATAAACTATTCACAATGTGGCTGTGATCCACATTTTACTCTGTCATGGAACATCCCTGTCACCCAGACACTCAGGTAAATTAGTCAATATCAGTCTCATATGTATTACAATACTGACAATGGTTGGTCAGACATTAAATTGGGGAACAAAAAGACAAGTAGTGTACAAAATGACAGCAAAATTAGAAAGCTTTGATAACTTTAAAAGCATGAGGCACTTACGTTGGATTTTGAAGTCAGATTTGATTATTGAGGTGAAATCTAACATTTTCCAGCTGAAATGTAACACTATAGGTAGTAATTTTTATTAGAATGAAAGAATCTCTTCTTGTGTGACAAGCAGAAAGTGAATTTACTCCTGCAAATGTCTTCAAAGAGAGAAACTTACAAAGTGAAAAAACAACCTCAAGGACACGCATTCTTGCATATGTTAACATTTTTGTGACCACAGTCGCTAGGAATAATCAGGTACAAAACGGAGGGAGTTTTTGCATTCTGTAGTAAAGTATGTGTATTTGTGTTACAGTTTTCTATCAACATAACCTTGTGACATGTATATCTGTTTACATTTTCTTCTGGATACATAGGAATGTCAACAGCTAAGTCTAACTTTCTGTAGCACAGTCTTCCTGGAAATCCCACTGTGTTTCAGTTCTAACACTTCCTTCTTTTAAGTCCAAAATAGTACTTTTGTATTCATTTTCTGAATAGTTCATTTTTCTGCAGCATTACTGCTAACTTCCTGTAGTAGCTAGCTGTGCTGCAAGGGTAGCATGAAGAGTAACACGTACAAAATTTGGATTCAGCAGTACATTTTTCCAGTTCCTATTTATCTCAACTAAAAAAACAACAATGCTCATCCTGACTATTCAGTTTACACGTCTTAGCTAGCAAGGGCGAGGGTTGATATTAATTCAACTTTCTGTAAAATGCTACCTTGTCGTGTTGTCTTTCTTTGTTAAACCACATTATTGGTGGTTTAACCAATAATGTAGTTAAACCACCAGAACTATGACAAGTTAAGAATGAAGGAAGGTTTCTCATTCACTAATAATTTGAATTATCCCTTTTGTCTTTGGTATGAGTGACTTTTCCATAACTTAAAAACCAATAAATAATTTTTGGAAAAATCTTTTTTTTTTTTTTTTACTAAAAATTGCTTCCAACAGCAATTTTCAGAAACAAACAATTATCAGAAACTTCTCCTTTCTGCCTTTAACTTTAATGGCGCAGGAAAACAAACCTATGGGGAATAATGCTCTTCTAATACCGTTCAACACATTTGGTCAGACAATTAAATCACAAGCTGACTGCAACAAATCAATTTAGATATCCTGCATGAACACAGCATCTTTCTCCATGTGAGAAGTAGATTGCACAATTGAGGCACTAAAACTGATCAACACAACTTTGATCAAATGATCCAATAATAACATCAATAAACCAAACTTTACTATCTGCAATGGTGAAGATTCACTGACCTTAGCATGCTGCATGCTTGAAACTGAAACTGACCTGTATCTTACTTTCTGAATTATTTTGCTAGTAATTAATCAAGCTTCTTTGGGGCTCAAAGAGCATTGGAATTTCCCCCAATGCGCCAATGACATCACAGCAAAAATAATAATATGCCCAGACCTTAAGCAGCAGAAACTGCAATTTGTACAGACTTTATCCCAACAAACATTCACCTTTTAAAACAGGGGCACATCAACAACAATATATTCTTCAAAGATGCAGCAGGACTTTTAAAATATCTAATTCATTTCCTGCAAAACGCTCTTATTGTTATACGACAGTCAAAATAGCAAGGTAGGAAACAGTGATTCAAATATCTACTAGGATAAAACATAAAAAACATAAAATTCATAAAAGTCATTGTATGGAAAAGTTTCTCTGGACCCAGCACAAACCATTTTGTTTAAGATTTCATTCTCTGCTCAATGGAGGTAATGGAGAAATATAGCACACACAAAATCTTTAGAGGTTAAAATTAAATTTTTTCTTTGTAAAAACAAATGTTTCATCAATACAACATTCCACGCAATAACTTGTTTTTACGTCTGTCATGCTACCTGTGCTGTCACTGCTATCTAACAAACACCCTGTTTTATGTAAACAATAATCTGTGCTTTTTCTGATTGGAGCTTCACATTTAGTTTCAGATGTGATGCTAATTAAAGATACACATCTGTTAGCAGCAAGAAAAAGAAGGAGCTTCCAAAACGTTTTTAGATACACATTTCTAACTTCAGTACTCATATGCAGGAGCTTGGCTTCTTGTTTTTTAAGGACAAGTCTATTAAGTGGCCTCCAGAGGCAGTTGGATAAATCGAGCCTCCTTCATGATGAAAATAAGGGCTCTTTTGTTTTCTCAATCCTCTCATCCAGATTCTCATCCACGTGCAATACCACAGCCCCAAAAGCCCTTCATATCCAGTGCAGCATGAGTTGTTACAGGTGGATATTGACAAAGTTTAAGTCAAACGTATAAAATGAATATGCTTGCTGTTAACACCTGCACCAGAGTCACAGCTTGGGTGCAATGATTTTTTTTTAATCCAGGGATAAATTTGATTAAAGTGTCTCATAGAGTCTCTCTTGAGAATAAAAAAAAAAAACCTGATGATCAGTCCTTTCAGCCATATAAAAACGTAGGAATCGCATTGGAACTACTTTCAGTGTTGACTAATCCACAGAGTTCACAATGCTCCTTCGTTTTTAGTTTTCGTTTGTGTTCGCTACCTTTGTCAGAATTTAAATTACACAAGAAAGTAAAGAGTTTCACTGCTCCACCGGTAGAAAATTTAATCAGTCTCTTTTTGCATTTTTTGCCAGCTACAGCGTTTCCTCCTCATCCTCAGCAGTTGCACTTATATTCAGAACAGGCAGGTTTTCCTTCAGTGAGATATCGTCCACTCTTTTGGGGCCGCTGTCCTCCAGCTCTTCGGGTATGGAGGGATCAGAGTTTGTCATCACATAACCCGGCAGGGTGGCATGCACATTGATGGAGGGCGCGCCAGTGCTTCGATAAGCTCTACTTGAAGCGAGTGTGGTGGAGCGTGTGGAAAGGCCTCCACCGGCCAGGTGGGACTGACTGCTGGTGCTGTTGTTGAGACCTACGACCACAGAGCCGTAACGGTAGCGACCGCAGACCACCGGGCCCTCCCACTCAAAGGCAAGGTTCCAGCGTGTCCATGTTTTCTTTATTTCTGTCTGAACCTGCAAGAAACCAAAATTATTTTTTAATTTCATGCTGACTGTATTTCACCTTTAAGTAAATAAGGTGATATTATTCTCAACCTATCTAACCCTCCTTTGGAGAAGTACATTGAGATTCTTCTCCAGAAACTCCTGAGGGGTTAAAAGACTTTTAGGGGAAAAAAAGTTAACACCTGCTGATCATGTTATATTAAATGCCTGTGAGCTCTCACCAAAACAACCTGTATCAGCTACACACACAAGGTTAGAAGTTATTTTCCTACTACTGCATGGGAACCAGAATGTTTCCTATGTTTCTGATCCCTTATGCTTGGTATACAACTCACGTGTTGATTCAGCCTGACAGAGCATTACATTCAGAGCTTATTCATTATTGATTTTCTTATCAGCTCTCTGTTGTACACAATATATATTAAACTTGATTGAGTGACTTCCACTAATAGTACTTTGTAATTATTTTTTTCCACAACACTTGTGAGAATAATTCTCAGAATCAACTTTGCTTGGGCCCATAAACTTGGCTTCACACTAGTTGGAGCACATGAAGTCATTTTAACAAATATTTTAGCAACCTATAAATTCATACTGCTATATTTATATTTGCTTTTAGCATGTGTTCTCCAATAACTGTGCTTACAGAAAAAATGTCAACTCACCTCTCCGTTGCAATAGCAATAAATAATGGACACAAAGAAGCCCTGTGGAAAATAAACAATGTATCTTAGTAACTCAAGGCAAAATGGATTACACTATAATTATAATCACATGTTCCATCTGAGGGCATCAGAGAAACAGAGAATGATGCTAAAGAAGGACGCCAGATTCAGATTTGTTCTTCTATGCTTCACTGTGTGTTCATTCAAATCATGACAGGAACAAATTAAAAGTATGATCCCTGTGAAAATTGAAGTCGTTTCAAAAACTCACATCACAGACATCTGACCTTCTTCATGGAGCAAATAATCTAATATTGAAAAATACTAAATAGTGAGAAATACACAAGATTAGAGCAAAATACCTTTTCATGGGAAGACAAGAAAGTCTTTGAAAAATTATTACCCTAAAACTTTTTATATATATTGCCAAAATTTTAATTGGCAATATATATGATAGACCAACAAAAGGTTGGTATTTGGGAACACGTCTCTACCAGTTTTACAGATCGAGAGGCGAAAAAACTGCACATATTCTTTGAGCCTGGACTGATAAAATCTGTGAACATCCAATTTTTTATTGACTTTCTTTTGAACTTTGATTGGGCCATTTTAAGACAACACATTCTATGGTAACTGTATGATTGTGATCCTGCTCAAAAGTGTTTCATAATTTCCATATTTTCAGCTCCAATCATCGTCCACTCAACTATGACCAGCTTCCTAAACCCTGCTGAAGAAACACTGTTTCCATTGGACTTTGTGGAGATTGTAAACAAGTTTGTTTTTCTATAGATGTGGATTTTTGTCTGCAATGGATTATTAGAGCCATGCTAAGAAAATTTAATAAATAAAATTATGAAACAACAGTCCTACAGTTATTAGAGTAGCATCATTCTATTGTGAGAATAAAGTGAAAATATTGCAACGTTACCTTATTTATGTATCATCATATTACTACAACACATTTTTTTGTTTTTATTATTATGGCTCTGTCATGATTGTCCAGATACTCTGGTTCTATCCCCTTGCCTAAGAACATGCTTAATAATAATAGTAATAATAATAATCTCATCATATAACAGACATACAGTCTCCACTGAAACACTGACTAGGAAATAAGCAGCTAGAGGCACCAAATGGACGAGCATAGAAAACTTCACCTTCCCTTTCTAAGTCTTTGTTTTTATAATCTTTGATGTCAGAACTCTCCCTTTGCGCAAGTCAATTTTCATTAAGAAGCTTTTGCACTTGTACCTTTCAGCCAAAAAGCCTTACAAGCTGTAAGCTGTCATTTGTCTCATCTGGTGGCAGACTAATTTTGATCCTTATGCAACAAAATAGCATTTTACCATTTACCATCACAAATGGAGGGACAGTGTCCACTGTTTGATGTGAGGAATCTCAGTCCCTTCACTGATGGGATTTCAGTGAAGCAGAAACCTGCACTGATGTGATTTAATGGCTAAGGGGAATAAAAAGGTTCCGTCCCTCTCAATTTATTTAATTTCTGTTTCCATGAGTAAGACTGCTACACCTACCATCTGTTACATAATTTGTGGGATGATTCTGCATGATTTATGCATTTCAAGTAAATGAAATAAAAAACTAACCTTTCTTATTAAGGAATCAAGAAAAAAATTCAATTTTTTTAAACTCGGTTTATGAAAAATATACCTACACAATAATTATGCACCTGCGTGAGTCATAACTTCTGTCGCAAAGCTTTATTTTCAGTTTCACGCCTCATCGATATGAAAGGATATTTTTATGTACTGCTGCTGCAGTGCAAAGATGATTCTTCAGTTGATCCATCTGACTTTATGTAACCCACTTTGGTCACTAACCTAATAAATTCTGACACCAATTAAATATGACAAACATACTTTTTTAAAAAAAACAAATAAATCCTTGAATAAATGGAACAACAACTGGGGTTTTTTAAAAATAATTTTATTCATTAAGAGGTAAATGACAAACTAAATAACCTAACCTTGTTAAATTATGAATATATATTATACTCTGATTAAACACAGGTGAGTTCAATTTCATTAGTACTGAATACTGATGACCTGAAAAATCAAGAAAACAATTAAACAGACAACATAAAGTAGACTTAAATGGTCGCAATACGACTCCTTAAATTGACAAAATCCCCTCTAAACCTCAAGGCTGTTTGAGCCATTAAGCCGACAAGTTTTTGTGATAGCTGGTTATTTTGTTTGATGTGTTTTTTGACCCACTTCTGCAAAAGTGGGTCAAAACCATTATTAGATTGATTGTTTTGAGCCCATTGAAGGTCATTTCACAACATCTCAATCTGATTTTTGTTCAGACTTTGACTAGACCACTCTGAAATGTAGATTCAGTCCGTAATTCAAATATGTTTTAGCTTAAGGAGTTACAGATTTAAAGGACGCACCTTCCAAAAAAATCCACTCTTGGCTCGTCAGTCCATAAAATATTTTCCCCAAGTTCTTGGGGATCATACACATGTATTTGAAAACTTTTTGTAGTTTTTTACTTACTGTGATGGTTCATCACTTCATGTTTCTTCCATTTGTGGAAAAAAGTTTTAATTGTACTGAAGTTCCAAAGCTGTAGAGATGACTTTGTCACCTACTCTTACTGATAAATGAAGGATCTATATATATATATATATAGATATATATATATCTATATATATATATATATATATTTTTTTTTTTTTTATTTATTTGAAAAGCTACTTTAGTTCCAAGCATAAACAACAGGGGAAATTACTTTTTCACATGGAGACAACGTATAAAAAAAAAAGCCGTGATATTTGTCTGATAATCTGATATTTGGGGATATTTGTCTGATAATCTGCCATATCCAAGTGTAACAAATGAGAAAAACTAGAAATGGGAGCAATATTTTTCTACAGCACTGTAACATTATTGATAGTGATCCATTTAAGAATGAAAAATGAATGTATCCACTGCAACTAATTTACCAACGTCCTGTCAGAAGTATTTTTTTATCAATCATCAGAAGAGATTCAGTGACACACATAGCATATCTAATGGTACGTTGGGACTTTAAAATGTCACAAATTGTGAAGATACACGTAAATAATTCCCTAACTATTAATTCTTTTGAGGAAATAAATTAGATATCAAGCTGACATCTGATGTGCTTTGGTGTTGATGTTATTTTCTACCTGAAGCAGAGAATGAACTGGGTTTATGGGGAGTTTTGATTATATTGTTTTCAGCTAAAAATGCTTTTGCTGCAAATGGCTTTTGTGAATTTTGAACACCGTGACCATTTCTCCATCACAAAAGGCTCCTGAGTCAGAGCCACCCCAACCGTGTCAAATGCAAAAAAAATTGCATATCGTACTTGGTCGAATGAATTTGCTGCCCATCAGTTAGAATGAAGGTACAATATTTAAATCTGCAGAGGGGCAAGTTTAACTTTCCACTGGTGCAAAACAAACAATTTTAACTGTTATCAATTCATCAACTTTTGATAAGCGTTTCATGTTTTGACCAGATCTGAAACATTTCAAACATGGTTTTACCCAGTTGTTCCAGTGTCCAAATATTAAATAACTAGACAAGTCTCGGGTAAAGGTCACTTCAACACAAATTGTCATTGTCTACCTAAAAAGAAACCAGGCTAAATTAGTTTCTCAGTTCAGGTTTTGACATTTGTTTTCAATGTTGGTCAGAACATTTTCTGTTCTTCTGGAGAACTGCACGAGAAAGCTTGTCTTTATAGGTTACTCTTTCAAATAGGCTCATCGTTTCAGCAATAATGACATGTTTTAGTTTGAAATATTTTCTGTACACATGTAATTAAGTTTTTATTGCTCAAAAGGAAGTGAAAATGTGGCCTAAAATAAAGGCAGCACTGATTCTAACACACAGAATTGTTCATTCAACTTAGGGTGAGCTTAATTATGAAAGGGAATCAACCTCATTATGCTTCTTCCCTGCATATTAAAGTGAAGTAATAACTTTGACACTGACAGTCACCCAGAGTAATTTATACAGGATAATTTTGGATTCCTCCCACTGCATGAAGTGGAAATGCAAAGGTTACTAAAAACGTGGAGCAACACAGATCTCAGTTTGTGATCTTTGGTTATTTCTCTGCAGCTCCTTTCATAAAGATTGTCTATCATTTTGTGTGATCTTGCAAACAGTTAATAATAATGAACACTTTTCCCTTTGCCGTTTTCTGACACAGCAGTGCTTTGTTCGCGTAATAAGCAGAAGGGATTCTATGATCATTATGAAGAGATCCGCAGAGTATAAAAAGTCTACTGTGTGAAATGAGGACTACTGAATGCCCTTATCTATTTTCAGAGGGGATTTTACATCCAAGTCATGCATTATCTGCAATGCAGAAAACATTGTGTAGATGCTGGAACTGTGAGCTATTGTGTAGATCTATGTATGCCTGAATGGTTTTGTCAGCAAATAAGTTTGTGAAAATCAGCTATGCTAACTTTAAACACTATTCTATACCAACAAAAATATTCATACCCTTTGAACCTTTTCATATTTTGTCACAATATAACCATAGATTTCACTAAAGCTTAATGGATTTTAGTCCTTTCAAAGATGAAAGTATAGATTTTTTGTATTAATTTCTACAAATAATAAAGTGGTGCACTGTGTTGTTTCCAAAAGTTATGTTTTTGTCTCAGTTTTTTCCACATGGTTTCTGGCGAATTTCATATCGACAAACTATTTTTAAGTAGTTGTTTTCTACTCTTAGACTTATTTTGAGTCATGCAGAAAGAAAACAACAATCAGTTTCCAATCAGAAGTCGAGAAATTAAGTTTACAATCTCTTTGAACCAAACTCATCTGCTTGCGATTTCTTGCTGTAACAAAATCGTTCCCATCGTGTTTAATCTGCAGAATCCACTGAGTTATTGTAGAACTGCAAAGTAAATTTGACTGTGGTATTTTGTAATTTAGGGGGAAAAATGTGATTTATCACTTCTATTACATTACACAGTATGGTAAAACAAAAAAAGCATTGGAAGCATTAAATTGTGGAAGAACTGGTGAGCCATTTTAATTGTGCTACAGTTTTATAACTCTGTGAACTGGAAACATCTAGGACACCTGCTGATTAACATCACAAACAAAGAAATAATTAAACAAATGGAGAAGTCTGATCTTGACATAATCAGAGTTCTGCAGAACGACATTATGCCTGCAGCATTGAACCACCTTTGCTCTGTGTATAATTGAGTCTTCAAGTACAATATCAGTGCAGCGACAGGACAAATGAAGCAGTCATCTGTTCCTGAGTTATCCACCAGGGAAAAAAAAAAAAAAAAAATATATATATATATATATATATATATATATATATATAATATATATATATATATATATATATATATATATATATATATATATATATATATATATATATATATACATAACGACACTTGGTTCAGAAAACAAATAACCTACAGCAGAAACTAACTCCTGAGTGTCAAAAAAGTGTAAGCATTTATCTTTAGGTGTCACAGTAACAGAGTCTGCAATGGAGAGGTCTCACAAAGTGCAATCAGGAGTATTTTAAACAAAACAAAAAGATAGGGACATGTAAAGTAAATTAAGTACAAGCTGATGCTGGTAAAAAAAAAAAAAAAAAAAAAAAACTAAAGAAAAAAAAAAAAACATCAGAGCAGGAAGCTCTGCTGCTGCACTGCTTCATTCCGTGCCCTGATTTTGCAAATAAATGCCACCCAGGGGTTTTGTTTTTGGAGATTTTTTTTTCTTTTGCTTATGTAGCACAACTGAAAAGTAAGCAGAAAGTACCTGAAAGGAGTTGAAGAATAGCTCACAATACATGCGAATCTCCCAGCTTGGTCCTTCGAATGTGTGAGGAAGTCCAACGAAGATGATGTAGTGGATGCCAAACACAAGCACCAGCACAAGGGTGGACTTTGCCAATTTTCTGTAGAAGCAAAAACAATAGATTTATAGTTGGAACCAGATGCTTACACACGCACTTTTTCCTCCACAACTTTTCCTTTTGTCAACGAGTATAAACAAAATTATTTCTAGTTTTTAGGTATCAGAATTAGGAGGTGTTATTTCAACTACCGTCTCTAAGTCAGGAGTTAAGCATTTATATGATGGGAGGTAAAATATGAACATTAAACATATAGCTGGTGCACTGCATTACCAGACATGTGACAACAAAATGTCATGTTAGCAGAAAATTATAATAGTTAACATAAATAAAGACTTGGTAAGTGATTTATACAATAAGTTTTACATAGAGTTAGGAAGGTAGTAAAAGTCATCCTTTTAAAAATTTAAAATTAGTCTTAGTGTTGAAGACTGAATCTTTATGTGTCTAGTAAATATGCTTTTCCAGTTTAGTATTCAAGTCCTACATGAGGCAAAAATAATTGGATTTAGAAGTAAATCCAAATCAATAAAGTGTTTGGTTTGGTCTAATAAATCCAAATGCTATGGAAACTTTCTTGAAGAACATGTAGGTGGAGAGTCATTTATACTTAGTTTGATTATTTCCTCTATTTTCAGGTTTTGATTAGTGGAACATTGATAAAAAAAAATCTCTTAGAACTAAGACAACTATGAACTCATTCATTTTCACATTTTGTTTTAATTCTAATGTCTGCAGACAGAAAGTAACAACAGAGAAAAGTAAGAGGTAGACTGTGATTTACTCCCCTTTTCAATTGAAACAAATGAGCCTAGCAAGCAAGCAAGGATAACTCAAACATCCTGCCTCCCTCGTGTGCTTTAATATTCATCTCCCATCCTCAACACAGATTTCTTGAAACTTAGTTTGGCAAAGTCATTCTACAAACCTCCTTGTGCACTACTAGCTGTCACTCTATGTTTGACTTAATGGTTACAAAAAATAGTTATTCTGAGCTAAAAGAACAGACGATAATACAAAAACAGAGCTATGTCAAGTTTGTGAGGGAGTGTGAGGCACCAGTAAAACAGGATTGTTCCCTTTAGACCTGCAAAATGAGATAAAACTGTAAAGCTCTGATGCTAGATGAGAAGCTGCTATCTTCATCAAAGAATCAATCCAATAAATTCAATTATTTTCATCACCGAGAATAGACAAATATATTAGTGACATTAGTAGGCGTGCAGCGAGAGCAGCTAGTTTAGTTTTTTTGATATCTAGAAATGAAATGTTTGTTAAAGATTGTTATTTGAAGGAATAAAACTATGTAAAAGGAAAGTAAATAAGGTGACTCTAAAGAACTACTTTGGCTAAAAGTATAAACGGTTGTTGTGACTGATGCAACAAGCAACTGAACATTATTATCATCGCTCAGGATTTGATTTTATCTCTAAATGTGCCTGTTGAGTCTTTGGATTCATAAGTAATCTTTTGTCCATCAATCAGCACATCTTAATAAACAACAGTCACTTTTATAACTTATAAGTGCTCCAACTGGTGACACATTGAAAAATACATGAAGTCTTTACATCTGAAGTTGTGGATTTGATTTGCAAGTACTTTCCTAATAGGTTTGATTATCAGTTACTTTTGCTTTAATCACTTCACTTCTTTTTTAGAAATAATGACATCTATTTGACATGTTTATATGGTCCCCGATTCATCACCCCTGATCACAATCATTTATTCTGATGAATTGTCATCTCAGCTACATAAAATGTCTGCACCATTCAAAGAGGGACTCCTCTTGGTTGATACGCTATAATTATTATGTTTTTATCTGACATGCTGATGCCAGCACCAGCAGGGGAGGGAAAATACAGATAATTATAGATGTAGGAATGGGTGTTTGTGTATGTGTGTTGGGGTGTGTGCGTGTGTGTGTGTATCTGCAGAGCTCATATAATGAGAGATAATTTCAACTTTCAACCAAAAAGCCAGTATCCGCTTGACAAAAGTTAATAATGTGCTCTTACATAAAGGTGAAGCAACTTCCTTCCTTGGGATCATACTCAATAAAATTGACTGAACAATTTAATTGTTCAATCAATAAAATCAGGCAAACTTTATTGTAACATCCATCTCGAATAGCACGTCTCAAAGCAGAACATGCAATCTTCACACAGAAACGCCTACTTAAGATTCAAACATTCATTGTGGAGTTTATTGTCTGAACTCAATGCTGGTGTCTGCATTTTCAATTGATCGGTGACATTTTTTAAACAGGATAAAGATCACTGCCTATTTTTGCAAATAAGAGTAAGTGGGAAGACATTCACCAAAGGTCACAAGATCTGAAACAAACCAATTTAATACAAACCTGTACTGCTTCCTGGTGTCATATCTCCCTGCGTTTGTCTCTCGGATCTTTGTGGCCAGCACTCGGACGATGTTCACAAACAAAATAAAGTTGAGCTGAAAGGAAAGAAGAAAAAAATAGAAAACTCTTTGAATTGTGACATAAATGTTAGGGACAGAAACTAGAAAATAAGACGGTGATAGATTTTTCTATTTTAGAGAAAATGTTCCAAAGATGTGATTATGTAAATCCAATGGAGGCCAAACAAATCTCCTCCTCTGTAAAAAAATTATACACCAGAATAACATCAAAGTTTTACTGACATTCCACTTAATGCAGTACATGAAGGAGCTGTACCTCTAATAAACTCTTGTCATTTTAAAAAACGTTGATAAAGATGAAGTGCAATTTCTACTCAGCTGCTGCCCGTTACCATCAGCATTATTTTAAGAACAATGAAACTGAAATAAAATAAGAAAAATGCTAATTAATCATTTTTGTTTTGTGCAGACAAATGTCAATAACATTACAACATGACATAAATAATACAAAGCTTCCCTTTACCTTTAAGTTTGGGATTCCAAAGACTAATCAGAACCATTTTCTTTATCCAATGTACAATGATTATACAACAAATGACTTAAATAAATAGTTTTCATTTCAAAATGATATTGTATCACCAGATGACCTTCAAGTTTTCTTAATTGGTTATGAGGAATTTATAATATGAAACTCAAGTCTCCATCACTTAATGTAAATGATAAGCATAGGAGAAAAAACTCCAGTCCAACCTCTAGCATAAGAATACTGTTTCAGCTTGTATAATATGTTGAACATATAAACCACACAGTTTCACGCATTTTGAATTTATTGCATATATAATGAAAACATGTATGAAGTAGTCGGATAAGAGGGTATTATCGTAGTTTCTGGGAATACAATTTGTTGAACATTTGTGGAAAAAATGAAGTATTGATCTCTTTTGATCAGAAAATATCTTCAAAGGAGAGATTTGTGAGTTGACCTGCTGAAACAAAAATTTCTAACTATCTCAGATGGATGAACGATAAATCTTTCTTGCAAAGAGGAATGCGTTGAAGGATAGAAACCTCCTAGATATCTTTGTTTGTTCTTCAACAACATAAACATTATATAAGTAGCTGTGCTAATCCAGTCAACGGCTCAGTCACAGCTTCCTAATTAGTAGGACCTACATAAAGGTTTTCCATTTGAAGCTTTGTGCCAAGATAATTAACCATATGTTCTGAGAGAACTGAATTCAAAGTGGTTATTTAACTTTAATCTATATAAACATTTTGTAAATATTAAGCTATAAGCTGTCGGTCACCAGCTCAAATCGTTCTTTCGTAAAAAAAAGAAGTTCAGTCCTCAGCTGTTTCACATGTTTAAGTGTCCTTGGGCACTAAACCTCAAAGATAATGTGCAAATACCGTCAACACACAAAGAAGGGATGAAAGTGTGTGATTGTGAATGGATTAATGGTAAACTGTATAAAATGTGCTATATAAGAGCAGTTGGTTTATCAAAGAGACAAACACACATCCACACTGTGGCCAATTTGCAATCCCCAAGGAATTCAGCATGTAGGTTTCTGAACTGTGGGAGGAAACGGGAGCACCAAGAGAAAACAGATTCAAGCACCAGGGACAAAATGCACCACTTAGAATAAAAACAAGTCACAATCTGCTTTTCTGTGATCGTGCTTACAGCTACACCACAATGCTATGCAAAACCCTTTCATCCAGTTTTAGTACACAGAGCAGTAATCTTTGCTCTGTGTCAACGAGCAAGGATTACTGGACCAGATTTCTAATGATTACAGTAATATATAGACTATTTCCAGCATGTCCAGTGGCAGTGACTTGTTTGGGTTCAGGGCTTCTGTGATGATAGATGACTTAATGGTTAGATGGGTTTTCTGATCAGAGAAATCAATCATTCCAATTTTAACCTTTGTGGGATGTATGTCTATCTTCTCTCCTTTTTTTCTTCCCCTTTACATACAAAACTGACAAACATATGCCTTTTAATCAATTAATGCTGTTCATACTTACCCCAATTGCTGTCAAGATAGGAACCTGGTAAATCCATTTGATGTTACCAGCACTTAACTCCCAGCACCTGATGATGAAATAAACAGAAAACAATTAGATTGTGAAATAAATTTGATGTAATGGTTAAAATGATACCTTGTTTTGGTTTATCTATCAGAAAGGTGTACCAGATATAAATCCACTGGACCTGACAATACAGTGTCTGCAACACATATTGAAATGAATGACAACAACGTGTACATACCCTTATAATCAATTCCTCTTTCATATTATGTCACACAAATTTAGAAAAGTTCAACCTTTCGGTTCAGTAGATTTATTCAGCGGAGAAAGAAAATCAGAACCATCCCTCAAATATTTCATATGTACCATCTTTTCCTTGCAGTGACCCAGGGAAGCTAGTGCTTATCTCCAGCAGTCTTTGGGCGAGACATGGAGCACCCGAGGTAGGTTGATATTACACCGCAGGGCAATGCAGAGAGACGCAGGGCAAACGAAAATACTCACTCACTCCCTGAGGGCAATTTAGACAGACCAGCTAAAGCAACACTTTTCTCAACTGCAATTTGTATTTACACATAATTTTTACACTTTTGATTTTTCTGAGAAATATTGAAATTGTTTCATAAATCCATGCCTTTTTTAATTACCTAGGGTAAACATGTGACAGTGGAGAGATGTTAAGTCAAGATATAAAAACATATTTTGAGATTATGGACAGGGAAGATTGTCTGGTTGTTTGGGGGCATGCCAAACTTTCTCTATCTAATAAATTCAATGCAAACATGCTGAGTTAACTGAAACCAAACAATCTGGTTGTGAGTAAAGATATAACTTTCAACGGACCAAAGATATGTAGAAATATAAATTTTTGGCCACAAACATCTCAGTTTGGTCTCCTGCAAAGCAAAGGGCACAAATGTAAAAAACAATTTATGCAGACTAATTATTACAGCAGAGGATCTCTGATTTGGAGGACTTTTTTCCTCAAATGCATACAAATAAGAGTAAATTCCTTATTCAACTGTTTAAAACCTCAAGAAATTATAAACAAGCATTTAGTGGCCTTGGCTCAAAGAGTTTGTCCAAATCAACAGAAAAAAAATGGTTCAACAAACTAAATAAATTTTTTTTCCAGGGGATATAGAAGTACTCAGATCTAAATCTTATAGAAAACTCTAACAGAGAACCATAGAGAAGAAATCCAAAAAGAGGATACAGGGCAGGATTATCTAAAGTACCTAAATCCAGTTCTCTAAAGCAACTATGGCAACCTGTACCGACTCACCAAGACCTGCTAATCAGCCATTCATTTGATTCAAATGTGCCGGAGAAAGGAAAGTTCAATAAGTTGCAGCATAGTAGTTCCTGGAGACTGTACTAAAAAGTTAATGGTTGAAGATTTTTTCATATCAAAGGTCACATTAACCAAATATTTACTGTCTTGCGGTTTTTTAAAACGGTGAAGAAAAAATCCAAAGGTCATCTGCTGCTTTGACAGACTACAGTTCACATCACTAACCACTAGGGGCAGACGCAACTTCATGCACAGAATATAGGTAACCAAAATGTGAGCATCATCTCAGATGGTTTAGACCAACGTCACAGTCTGCATAAAAAGGCATCTAATGGAGGCAAAACCCTCATGACAACTGCCTCTGCAGACATTTGATTCCTCCTGGCTTATAATGACCAGGAGGACGTTATGAGATTGTACGTTCACGCCACAACACATTGTCTTTCGTGATCAATTAAAGGTTGAATTTTTCTGAACTTTGTGTGTGTGTCTGTTAATGCAATAAAATGAAAGATTTCATGCACATCTTAATCAGTGAGAATTGGTGCCATATATTAGATCCAAACTCAATATATCAGATCCAAACTTTTCAGCTTTTTCTTTTTGAAAGTATTTCCTTTCTTTTTAACAGAAATTTCTCTCATATTCTTGATTTATTTATTTATTTTTATTCATTTCAATAAACAGAAAAGGAACAGTCTTTGAGAAGCAGAATAATTTATTTCCTGTAAACAACAGTAGGAAGGATGTGCTTTTCATCACCTGTAGCTCAAAACAGGCGCTGGGAGAAGTACTAGAATTTAACTTTATCTTTCCACAGCAATTATTTCCAGTGCCTCCACCTGTTGCATTGTGTGTCTACTTTTGTTCATAACTGTGTTGCATATTAAATTAAGCGAGTATAATTGGATTTCACGGGTGACTCAAATGTCACATGAATTAGACTGTAATTGTGCCGACGCCTTTTGTCTCTTATAGTTGCTAATAAATGGGTTGTCTTGTTCCATTGATTACAATTAATTGTTCAATCTTTTCATTTTTACAAAAACAAAAATATGCTAAATTAATACTCATGCAATTTGTGTACCTTGCATCTGCCAGCGTTGCCCTGACGATCGCCCAGATTGCGACAAACACAGCAGGGACACCTGAAAGTGGAAAACAAGATGTGACTCAGTGGATTTATTTTTTTTACTTGATGCAACTCGCAGCTCAGGTTTCACGCTGGATTTCCTTCATGTCACAAGAAAACAGATACTAAGTGTACTAAGAGTACTGTGGAGACAGTAAGAGTGTATATATAATCTCACATAATGACGGTATGCTGACATATAATTACTACACACTCAGACAACGTGACAAACGTACTTCCTATCCAGCAGCTCTGATGCATGTCACAGTTCAGCAGAAACAGCAGTTTCCACACTTTTACTATCCATCAAAGTGCATGGAGGCTGCAGGATTTCATGTACATTGTTTCTGTAAAGACATTCCCATGCTTCATAGTTGTATGTTTTATAAAGTTACCAGGTGTAGTCACTTCTTTGCTGAAAAATAAACAACTCAGTGCTGCTATAGTGGAGGAGATTAAACAGGCATGACTTCCCGACTAAATTTACAAACGCACCATTTCTTTAAGATTTGAACCATACTTTTTTATATAACTAAGATTTCTTGTTTATTTCACCAACAGTTTCTTCTCATGGTCCACACAGATGGAAATATCTGGTTACAAGTTCATTTTAGGGCAGATTTTATAATACTGACTTCAGTTTTCAAGCTCATTGATTCAAGCTCTGTCCTAGATAAGCAAATTATTAAAGCCAAATACTTCAACTCAAACATTGACATAATTAAGCCAAATTTGTTCATAGTTCCAAGGATCAGATATAAAAATTTGGAGGGAGGCTGAACTTTAACCATGTAATGAGCTTCTTATTCATGGTTATATTATCTTGGACCTTAAACAATCTATCTTTTTAGGATAGTTTTCAATATTCATGCAATTGTTTATAATTAATTCCATCATTTGATATACTTTGTCTTTTTAAAATGTCTAATTTAAGTTTAAGTTTATACTCTCCTTGTGAAGCACTTTGGGATTTTATCAGTGATTTTATCAGTATTTAGTGGCTAAACCCTGAACCAAAATCAAAACATTCACAAACAAGGTCACAGCTGGATGAATAATTTCATTCTTAGTTCAAGATTTTTTTGTGTTGCAAACCTGATTCACTATTTACATGTGTCTCTCACTCCGTGAGTCCAAGGTTTCCAGATCAGAGATGGAGACTGTGAATGAACTCTTAACCAGTTAATGCCCCGAGAATTTTAAAAAATAATAGTGTGTTCAAGTCTCTCTTATTTCCTCTTAACCCTCTCAGGCTCAAATTACTTGAAAAGACTGTTTAAGTTGTTGCAAATCTGCAACCCCTGCCTGGAGAGGGTTAACCTGAGGATTAAATTTTATTATTTTCATTTTTAGAACAGATGAGCTTCACCTGGTCTTATTAAATTATATTATCTTTTAAAAATAAGATATGTAAAATCAGGTAAAATCAGTGCTGCAACTATTTTCACTCTCTTGCTGGTGATTTAAAACACCAAGGCATTCATCAATAACGCATATTCACATTCATGCACACAATCACATGAGATGAATCAATAAGTATGATGGTTCAATGTCTTTCTCCACTACAATTCAGAGTAAAGTAATGAGGTCTATTGTCAGATCCCCGCTCCTCCGAGCTGCTGATTACAGATCCTGGAGATGAGTCAGAATTAGCAGGACTGAGTTTTAGAAAATCTGAATCTGACCAGATAACTGTAATTTCTGCAGCTCTTCTTTCGGACTTTGAAATCGAACCATTTATTATATTTTCCTTTTGAAAATGTCGGGAAAAAAAATTGTATCTAATTGGGTGGATGATGAGATAAAGCTGGAAAGTGTTATCAGCTTTACACACGAGGAAACCGTCACAAAATTATTATCAAAAACAACAAATGTGAAATAAGATGATACAAAAGTCGACGTTAAAAACTACGTAGATTTGCTGCTTTACTATAATATTACCATAGCAATATTATCAGACTGCTCATGTAGATTTAATAATACATTTAAATCACTCTTAGCATCGTTGATTTTTGGATGAACTTCAAATTAGGAGATAAATCACGCTAAACTGAATTCAGGATTTAGAGCATAGATGCAATTGTTCCAGAAATTATTTCAGTTATTCTAACAACAAAAATAAGTCTGTCATTAGTTACCATGAAATTAAGGCTATAAAGCAAAATGTAACATATCTATTCACTCACAGTGTCATCTATGAAGTTTTTTTCTTCAGCATAAACAACTTTTGCTGTGTAATAAAAAGTACAAACAGCAGATGTGATAAGATTCTCTGAAGCAAATCATCTTCATACGAATCGGCATCTATTCAATTTTTAGCTACAAACATCTGAATTAAATGCTTTATTTTATTTATCGCTACAGCAAGAGAAATTAGGTCAGAGGAGTTTGCTAGCACTGAGAACAGAAGCAAATGGAGAGACAATTATAATCTTATCGAACTGTTTCTTTAAGTGTCACTGACTATCCAACAGACATATGTAGGGGTTTTTTAATTTTCTTTTGCATGTAGAAACTATTGAGGTCCAAAAGCACATGAAAGTAAAGAACCACTGTTGACTTTTAGAGTAAATGTTTATGCTGGTAGAGAAATCTTTCACACATTTTCCAAATAAAATATCTTCCCCAGTGAGAATATACTTCGCCTGGAGCTCCTTTCATCATGTCAGCAAAACTGTTCAAGTTATGTGCTGGGAAAAAACACACACACACACACACCCACACACACACACACACACCCACACACACACAATGTCTTTGCCATAGGCTTCCACTGAGAAAACAGCTTGAAGTGTCATTTTCTTTCAAGAAATTTATTCTAGCCTATAAGTGAGGCACATGCATATGAGAATAAAAAACAATTCAAAGGCACTTCTGGGAAAGTGGGATGTTGTAAGACTATTGGTGTCATGCAGCGATGTTTTTAGAAAGTGTAATCTGAAGTGGTGCTGTTGAGAAAGGCAGGTACAGCTCTTGAGGAAGATGGATGATGAAATTAATAAGTTTTACTTAACAAAACTGGAAAATGTCCAAGAAACAGGCAGACTAGAAGCAAAGATAACTCTAATTAACTCAGAGCAAAACTCTAGAAGACAAAATCCAAGATATGTCCAAATATGCATAGAAAAGTAAGGCTAAATGGTGCATTTATTAAATTGAGGTGTTGTAAATCATATGTGATTTGTATCAGTCGTATTAGTTGAAAATATATTCTTACCTGATGGCATGCTTTAAAGAAAAGAATCTGATATAAAAATAATTCAAAATAATTCAAAATAATTCAAAGGGATCTAATATGTCAAATAAAAATTTTGTTTATTTTCATGCTTCCATTTTGGTCTGCTTCTAAAAACAACTCAAAACAAAATTTAAAAAAATATTATTTTGCAGAGCTCCTGCTACGATTGGTCAGCTGGTTTTCTGATTTTCAGCTGGTTTTCAATAACTCATTCCAAACAGAATATAAAATTAACGTTCACAGGATTTTCAGCTAATTGAAAAATGTTATGTTTTATCTATTTTTGGATCTCGCTTTCAAAACATAAACTCCATCATATTCTCAAAGGAAATACTTGATTGCAATGTTTTACTCTGGGCCATTATCAGATTGTGATGTCGCCGTTCTCTGGACACCAATTGGATAGGATCAGAGTCCCGATCAATTCAGTTGTTTCCCTCATAATCTAAATATCTAACAACCTTTAAATATAAAGGTTGTTAAACCTTTACAACTTTTACAACTGGTTGTAAAAAGAGGCTATTTTGGCTGCTGTAGTGTTCTTTGGCCACACTTTTTAAATTCTACAATGTTTAAAGCAAAGCGCTACTTTTTTAAAGCAAGAGGAAAAGCTTTATGTATGTTTTCCAGATCATCCTGTTTATTACAAAGTTCCCATACAGCTACTCATATTTTTTTTTTTTTATCTATTCTCTTTGATAATATTGTAACTTGCTGTGGATTTGTGATCTTTATTGTCAAAGTTTTATTTTGACGACATACATTTACGACTACATGTAAGTCCTCGGTATCAGCCTTCTTATGACTCATTTCTAAAGCTTTAACAAATTAAAATCTAAATAGTACCAAGCATCAGAGAGGTAGGTAACATTTTTCTTCTGCTGTTTTCTTAGTCATGATTAATATGTAGTATATAATGCAAGTTTAATATGTAGTACTCATATAATACAAGTTGAAGCTAACAGAAAAAAAGAGAATAGGACTGATTAACACAAACCATAATAATGTCCCACAAAAAACAATAAATAAATAAATTGAGAAATCTATGATCATAAAGAAACAAAGCTGAGAGCAGATGAAATAAAACATTAAACTACTGCAAGAATAAAATGTGCAAATATTTCACTGGTCCACACATCATTTTTGGAAGCTATTAAATATTATTTTGAGTTAGAAATTACTTTCAAATAACTTGAATAGATCAAAACATTTGACAATGTTGATTCTGCAAATGGGATGCAGTCAGTCAGTGTGCACCAAAACCAATTTGAACTGACAACAAACAAAACATGAAAAGGAAACGATTTAATATAAAAACTGTCTATCTTAATGCACGCCTCTTGCTTATTTCCAGAATTAAAAGACATCGGATGAGACAGGCCATGTTAAAGCCTAATTCAGTTTCCCAATTCTCTTTTTCTTTACTGAACTTTTTCCATTCAATTATAGAGAAATCCAGCAGCTTAGATAATGTCAGAGCAGAAAGCTCTATAAGATATTAGCAGGCTGTTCGGGTCCCCTGGCACAAATGTACCATCAGAGCCTTCCTCTGCTTTGATTATGATCTAAAATGTGCCTTCTCTTCTCATATCTTCGATAAGAGTCATTTTATCTCATTAAGACACAACTTGAACTACTTTAAGCTGCTCTGTTTCATGAAGAAGACCTAAAAATATCTTAACAAAAAAAAAGATGCATTTCTAAAATTTCTACATAAAGCATTTAATTCATGTCTTTTAAATTTTAATCAAATTCAATCTGTACTATAAGAAATATAATTTGCAAGAGGCTGAGGTGCCAGCAGAGGAAAAAATAAATGGTTTTGTGGTAAAAGTGGTGTAAGAAATTGCGGGTTTGCTCCTCACCCCATCCAATGAATATGAATCCCCACAGGTATTTGGAGTCTGAGCGAAACGCCATGAAGATGAGGCTGTGCAGGTAGAGGCCTTCCACCAGAATCCAGAAGTAGTTGGTGGCAAGGAAGTAGATGAAGAGCAGCACCGTCACCTTGCAGCCGATCTGGCGACAGAGCATGCAGACTTGTCACATATGATTTGTGTTCATTATCATGCAGCTTATTTGTTTTGCCTTTGTGTTGACACATTCATCAGTTGACCGCATTGCTGCACACAAAAAGCTCCGGCACCACAGGTGAGCCCCAGAGAGCAAACCATCTGATTGCAAAGTGGGAAAGCGTTGCTGTATAAATTTGCATATGAATGACAAAATGTACACAAGTGAACAAAGTGAGATCACAGATTCAAGCTGGAATATAAAAGGGAAACAAAAGGAAGCTATTAAATTAATGATGGATGGAACATTTGAGGCAACAAATGTATTTTCTCACCACGTAGTGCTTCCATAATCAAGAGACTGTTAATTTTAGTTTTTAAAAAATGCTATATATATATATATATATATATATATATATATATATATATATATATATATCAAATGTGGCTTAAAACAAACTTTGTAATTTAACACCTTAACACTGAACTCCAGCTACAAGGTGGAGCTGCACCTTTAAGGTCCATCCATTTGTTTTTCACAATTGAATGGTCGACACTGGAGATTAACGGATTTCTCAAGCATGCGTGAAAGAATCAATGCAACACTCCATGTATGTTTCTGATGAGGGAAAAATATTATAACATTATAAATGATGCTAAGCTCAAAATGTCAAATTTACATAATACTGTTCCTTTAAGTCTGTAAATCAGGAGTGTTTAAGTGTATCTTGAGCTTTCAATTTTTCTACAATCCAATTGTATTACTACTATTGAGTACTTTAAACTCTGTGTGTCTACAAAACTTTTGAGTAACCAGTGCTTTAATTGAAGACGAAATAAAATATTTGTTGTAATTATTTTGCAAGGGTTTTGTAACCAATAAACATCAGCAACAAGTATGGAGTGTTTTCTTCTACATAAACCCTGATGTCGCAAGTTTGTTTGGTAAAAATCAAGTTTAGAGCTTTGTAGATACAATTATAGTTTTATAGTTACATGACAGGCAATGACAAAGTAATATCCATCCATCCATCCATCCATCCATCCATCCATCCATCCATTCATGCTTCGATATCCTCCAAAAAGAAAAGTCCATTAGGCATCAAGATCAGATGACAAACCCCCTTCAATTAATTAATTTTATTGAACACTGTTTGCACTCTGAGCTTCCCCAGATGACATATCTCATCAACTTATCTATAATGTATAACAGTTGAAGCCAGATGGTTACAAATATTGACTGTCCATGTAAATATATGAGATGCAGATACATCATCTTAGTGTGCATCTTTATTTTTCTAACATGTCTTATAATGGAAGTGCAGCATACCTTCAGGCATAGGTTGCTCTAAATCAATAATGACACAGTTACATTCAAAGTTCAGTAAATAATCTGAGCTGTCTGGGTTAAACCGTTTGTTTTTTTTTAATCAGCGCAGATCAGAAATTCAAATAAAGAAACCCCAGGCTGCATTTTGTTTGCTTTTTATTTACTTTTGCTGTGAAGAATGCTGAATGTGCACAGTTTTTTTAAATAGGTTCTTGTCAACTTTATCTAATAAAGATGAAGAGATTTTCTGAATCACCAACTGAATTTTACTCCATATGAAATACAAATTTCAACTTCAATAGCAAACAATGGAGGAAAAGGTTTTTAAAGGCAAAGTGTTCTTTTATTCTGCTTCTACAAACTCAGAAATGCCAAAGTCAGATCGTTCTGTAAAGCCACTATGGTTGGATGTCGCCATTTGTCATTGAAGATATTGATTTATTCCATTTATGTATGGGTTGACATTGGAGAAAAAATTTGCAACAATGAAAAATGGTAAACAACTACTCATTTTTCTCAACTCATTTTTCATTGTAGGGCTGACAAATTGCATAACGTAAATCAATACTTTTTACATGTTTTTCAGATTAAAATATTACTTTCTTGCTCTGACTTACAACTACCCTGTCGTCATATTTGTGGGCCATTAAAAAAGTGAGAATTATCCATTTATCTTCTTTTTGAATAAAATCAAAATGTAATTTTTTTTTGCATTCACAAGTGATTGCATATAAATTGCAGTTTACCAGATGATATCAATAATAACACTTAGCTTTGGTCAAATTAAACTTACTGCAGATTGTAAATGATTAAACATTTGAAAAGGTGGAAAAACAACATTAGATAGATGAACAAATGTTTGGTGGGACCAATTTTGCAAACATTTCTTTCATTCTGCTATGTATTTTTCGCTCCATTGCCCGTTGCTTTTAATATGTTAACAGAAACGATGCAACCATACTGGAATCTGAGTTTGTGTTCACTTTAACTGCGTGATATTTTCCTGCAGCCAGACTGAACAAAGGAACACTTTATCTTCCATTAGTATGCAGAATATATGCCATTATATTTATTATCTTTGTCTCCACATGTTGCCAAATCTTTAAGGTTTTGCAAAACAGCATGGATGTTTCTTTCTCCTTTTTTTATTTCCTCTAAAGTTTATATATATATATATATATATATATATATATATATATATATATATATATATATATATATATATATATATATATATATATATATATATATATATATATATATATATATATATATATATATAGATATAGATATATAGATATATATATCTATATATATATATATGCTTCATGATTCTGAATTTAATAAGCTTGTGAAAGGAAACCCAAAACATTTCTACATTTTAAACAGAAATTCAGACAATATTAGAGAAATCTACACATCTGAACTGAAAAAAAAAAATTAGATACATTATGTTAACATACATATTCGTGCAAATGTGATTAGCACAGAATATCATACTTTCTGATGTCTTGTTCCTGATAAAGTAGTTTGAGTTTAACAAGGTCTAATTAGCAATTTGACAGACATGCTAAGAGAAGCTTGACAACTGTAGTTATAGACCAGAGTGTGCAGCTGGAGCGCTCTTACTTTCTTTGCCACAACTGCCAAATCTGCTTTTTCTTTTTTAAATGAGGTCAAGTTTAGAATCTGTTTTTTCTGCCGCTGCACAAAATACAGATACAGTAATCCAACACTATCTTGACAGGAGCAATAGCACAAGGATGTAACTCAGTTTTTTTATGCAAACTTTAACCCGGTCTCTCATTACTAGAGAGCCATGACGAGGACATGAATATTTTAGCAATTTTAAAACACTGTTATGTACTCTATCTGGCATCAATTTCCTTTTAATTAAGATAAAATGACAAGCAGGCATTTTACAAGAAAATGTTCAAGAAGATGACTTGATACTTACATACTGGGACTTGTCGAGTGATGAAATGCTCACTGTTTTCAGGTTATCCAGCAGGGCTGAGTCAAAGTCTTGCAATCCGGCACTCGAATAGACAACTTTGTCCTTCACAAAAATGCTGACAGCCCGCAACATGAAGGAAACAAACAAGTGCATGTGGATGTAGTTTCTGGTGCAGTGAAGGCGCCTGCCAGGATCAGAGAAGTTATGATTAATTATTATGGAAAAACAAATAACTAATTTCAGCCCTCCATTATAAGCAGGGAGGGCTTAAAGAACAGGAATATGATACAAAAGTAATGCAAATGCTTTATCTGGCTTTTTATACAGTTGTATTACCAAGAACTCCAACTAAAAGCCATGAAATTTATCAAATATGTTTAAAAAAATGAATATATGCAGTTTCTTTTGTCAAATACGGTCTCACATAAGGTCCACCTCGGCTTCAACACAAGTGGTTGCTGAGCATCGGACCAGCTCAATTCATACAGTAAAAAGTGTTCCAGTAATCTAACACCACCTTGATGAGAGCACAAGGATGTAACTCAGTTTTTTTATGCAAAAAATTGCAAGATAAACTAGGGAGAAAGAAATTGTCAGGGACACCATGAGCCAACTTATTGCACATATGAGACTCAGCTTTGACACGTTGTTGCTCTTGCAGAATTTATACAATAGGAGCCAACAGAGAAACTCCACACACTCGAGATTTACAGCCTGCTTTGTTGCTCTCAGTGACTGCAGAAGTGAAGTATCAGGCACTGACAGGTTTATCGTCTTAACCAGCTCCTGCATTGCTGATGCTGCTCTCAATTAGCATGAAAGAGCAGAGCCAACTCCAATTCAATGAGTGGCCCACTCATCATTTTCAGGGCTGAAGATGACAATGTTTACTATGAAGGCTTTCACATGAAAAACTGACTAAAGCCTGATTGCAGTCCTTAATTAGCAGTGATGGGCTAATTACTATACAACAGTATACAGCTGCAATAAGAGGCTCACATAAACCCTTCATAGACATGGCTGCCATTTGAATTTTGAGCTTTTAAAGATTAATTGGAAACATTCTTTTTCTGTCTGAAATAACGGCAACAAACTGATCCGCTTATTCTATAGAAAGAGAATTGGATTGCATTTTTTTCCAATCTATCATAGTCTGAATTATGAATGATGACTACTAATTAGCCATTGGAAAACTCATCAACCACTTTATTAAGCACATCTGCCTTAATTCTTCCTGGCACAGATCCTGGGTTTCTGCATATTTCACCAACTCAAATGTACAACTTTTTAAGAACTTTCTAAGACAACCATAAATGGAATTTAAGACCAAATAAATAAATTGTATGGGTTTGCAACAAAAGTGAGCCAATGGCAAATATGGACATAGTCCAGCCAACTGGCAATAAACTTTCACATAGCCAAGATGGATGTAAAAAAAGAATGAGCTAGCTTTACTCTTGCTAGTAACTAGCTAGCAGGGATACATTAGCAGCTACAGCTACCGCAAACACCTTGAGTCACAGAACGCAGTGAAGATGACTCAAAGTTTTGAGTCAATGCAAAAACTTAAAATAGTTGGAAAATATGAGAATAGACAAGAATAAATAAACAGCTAGCAAGTTCATTATTATTTTTTAATAAATGTAAAACTTTTTAAGGTCTTATGTTTAGATACATAAATCTAAGATGTTTTCAGATTATAAGGATGTGTGACCAGATGAGATTTGGTAACCATAAAAACCACTTCAGTACAGAAAACTCACTGCCATGTTTTAGAAAGTACTCTGACGGTAAATTATCCTGTTGGAAGTATCTGGATTATGCAAAAGGATCCCAAAAATGCCACAACAGCACCTGCCATTCAATTACACTACCACTATCATTTTCACAGCCCACTGTATTTTTTTTCATTTTCTGGCCATTTCCAGTAAACATGAGAAGTATTTGTGCATGAAAATCCCAGTACATCTGCCAGCTGTGAATAAGGCCCAGTTGGATGTAAAATGTGTGCTCCATGCATTCATGCTCTGCCAGTAAAATAGGATCTTCCTTCTCTGATACTCACACCAAGAGTTTTCTATGGTGGCAGAGATACTGCCACTATAGATATTTTTGAAATTACGATAAACACTATACTGTCGAGTACTTAAAGTTTGCATAGGATACTGTGTTGCAATTGTAGTAAAGCTTTGCATTGGCGATGAGGGACTATTCACACTGAAATAGGAAACTGGCAAACAGCAATAAATACTGTAAAAGGTTTGTAAAGATCAAAGATTTACACGTTGCTTTGTTGAGTCAACCGCTGTCAAAAGGCCGACTAACGGCCTTTTGGAAAGGCTTCAGCAACTCATGCACAATTTATGCTCAGTGGTCTTTATCAGAGATGCTCGTCTGATCACCTTCCTTTATTCCTGTTTTGAGGTGTGCATGTTTTTGACTGAAGTTTCAGATACAAACCCAAAGACCAGCTGCAAAGATGCTGCCATTCACATCAGGAGAGTTTATTGTAAGAATAAATATCACCTATTCTAAAAAGGAAAAAAAAACCTTTGAATGTTTCACCATGAAAAAAAAATCATATTAATAATAGTTTAAAATCTCTTGTGCTTTATTTCATATTGTTTGTGAATTTAAATGTTCTGATATTAGTTGTTTCTGTTTTAATAGACACATCAAGAACTTGAAAGATTTTTTAGAAAGGTCCAAGTTTTTATAGATAAATCTTATCTACCAAGATAAGATAAGCTTTCATAATAAACTTGAAAAAGCATTTAAACGTATCTGAAAAAGCTTTTCTAATGAATTACATTTTGTTGAGAAACATAAATGAGAATTCACAAGTTCACTGCAAAATAATCTCAAGGATTTTTTGTCTAGTTTCTAGTGCAAATATCTTATTAAATTAAGATATTTGCAAGATATTTATGACAAAATAACTTAAAAGTAACATTTTATCAAGACAAATAAGCTTGTTATAAGTGAATAATTCTTATGAATAAAAAAATAGAAGCTCAGCTGACAGATTTTTTACTTTAAACATGAAAAATGTCTTGTTATAAGTGGAAAAATCTGCACTTTATACTAGAACAGTATCAAGTACTATGTTAGCACTTAAATTTTTTTGTAGTGTTGATCATTACCCTAAATTAAAGGATAGATTTTTTTGGCACACTAATGGTTATATTGACGACAGAGTTACCAAAAGTCTCTTTCTGCTTTTCTGTTGGCTGTGCTTATCTGGCCTGTCGGTTTAGGTGGATAAACATTTATTTTTGCTGCTGTGTCACACTGTTCCAATAAGGAAGAGGAACTGAAAAATGTACCGCTTGGGATATTATTTCTAAACCTAACTCTGCTCTAAACTCTCCATAACTTTCTTCCCTCACCCATCTCCTCTGTTTTTGGTTTTTATGTTGCCTTAAAAATATATATATATCAAACTTTGGAGAAGAGCTGAATTTAAACTACTAACAGGCAGAATCAATTTACTAATCAGGTGTGTGACGTCTAGTGTCTGTACTGATTTGTATTTAAAATATACAATTTTGAAGGATATTTTTTCTCTATTTTCCACAATTATGAACAATTGTGTGTTGGTCAGTCACAAAGAAACCCAATAAAATGCATGTTCCAGTTTGCAGTTATAGACTCGTAAAATGTGAAAAGATTCAGAAGGCCTTTTCCATACCTCGTAAGGTGAAGGTTGTTTTATGATTAGTTTTCAAGAGGAAATTATTCGAATGATCGTATGAATGTTTGTGTGAATGACAATAAAATGCTTGACAGTAAATCAAAAGGTTATGTAGAAGTTTTTCAAGGATTTTTCACATCAGAATGTTAATAAGAATAAGTCAATAAACAAGACTCTGTGGTGTTAAGACACATTTAGTGACAATATTTTCAAGCTCATATTTTCTTGAACTCCAGCAAACAAATGTGACTCAATGTGAAGAATTAAAAAGCGTCAATTTTGTCTTATTTCTGGCACGAGCATTTTTACATTGAAATATTTTGATTCAAAAGTGGTTCCTTGGTTCTAGTTTATGTCCAAGGCTTGTAAAGTAAAGCACTCATAATATTTTTTGTTAAAATTTGAAAAATGAATAAAGGTTCAGTGTGAAACCTTTATGTGAAACATACAAACATTTCGAGAGTACTATGATTGTTTTTTAAATCTGGAAATATTGATTTGGAAATTCAATAGTCTAAAAGAGAAAACTTCTTAAAACAATGTCACAACATTAAACAAATGAAAGTAGATTATCTTCACATGGTACAGGAATCTATAAGGTATTAATTACAGAGTTTTAATAAATGTTGTCTGGGTTGGTGATGTAAGTTAAATTATTCACACACATGACAGATTTAGATTTAATTCTTATTTTGCCAGCATGTTTTTTTTTGCCAGGAAATCTACACTGGAAAATATCACATATCCATCATTACTTGCCTGCCAGTTGGTTATGTATTGTGGATGACAACCACACTACGTATCCCACAATGCACAGCAGCAGCAATGTGAAGATCAACACAGCGTTGAGTGTAACCACTACTTTTGGAAGTGATGTAACAGAAAACAAATATCACTCATCTGTTCAATAATCCATTGGGTTTTGACATTTGAAGCTCCTACAAACATCCAGTGAGATCTCACAGTTTTCCTGCTTCGTCACTGAAATGACGGCTCTTTCTCTAAACTTGTTGGAAAATGTCTTGTTCTGATTGACCAACAAACTAAATGATCTAGTGTGGCCATTCAGATTTTTATTTATTTATTTATTTTGGTGAAGTGTAAGAATGACTTGTTTCTTCCAGCATTTCATTTTAAGTGAGATTATATTTTTGTTTTCTCTATTTATTTGTGGTGTTTTGTTGGACTTTCTTCCATTTCCCAAAAGACAGAGTTAATGGAGTCCTGACAGCTTTTCTAATTTTCTTCATGTTTACAAGCAAACGTAAAGCTGCAGTTCTTTACAGTTTTGTCCTTGAGTTTGTTTGGAGAGCTCCTTGATTTGTGCTGTTCCCTGGGTGCTTTTGAAGACGCTGTGGATTTTCATATTGAGCGCTTAGGTGAATGTTTACATTGTGAAAAATGTGTGCAGAATAACTGAATAGAGGCATAATATTAACTATTAAACCACCCCTTGCCACCTCTGTAGCATTTCTGAAATGCTTCCCTTTGCTTGCCTTTTACATTTTAGAAGAGGACTTCCCCAAACTACAGTCCATATTTTGTGCTGAAAGTAAGTGACTCATACAATGAAAACACAAAAACTGTCAGTTTTGAATCCCCAAATGTTTAAAATGCCAACCGGTTTATTATTTTTTTTCACCTGCTTTTATTTCCATCTTCGGTTTTCGACACATGAGACTTGTGAGCAAAAACACCTCTGTTTTTTCTGCCAACATTGTCAACAAACCTTTCAAAACTGTTGGATAACTTCTGAAGGGCTGTCGAGGATTAAATGATGCAATTGTTTCGAAGGACCTCAAACTGCCACTTTTTGACAAGTATTTGTAGTTCTATATATTGTGCAACAAATCAGTTTGAGATCATTTTAACCAGTCATTAACCACTTTATAAGAATACAAGAAGTATCTTCTTACCGGAAGTATCCAATGATCATGATGGCCACTAGCAGAGAGCTGAAGGACACGGCGTAGCCGGTGGTGTACATGACATACAGCCGCTCAAAGAAGTCTTGCTGTGAACATGCAGGAAGAAAGAAAAACATGTTGTTTAGTTCACTGCTATAGAAAACACACAAGCATGTCTAGACAGTCCTAAACAAGTTTTACATGAGCACAGCAAAATAAAAAAAAGCCTAAAAATAGTCTGAAAACTGAAATAACCTTTTCTTTTTCCAACCAATAGGCTGAAAGATGTTGGCGATAAAGTCAAAAGGAGGCTCCATCTCTCTCCGTAAAGATGTTTATTTATAGCAGATCATATTCTCCATACACCGTTGGTTGCTGGTGCAGCTTACTGAATATAGAAAAGGTGGAAAACATGATCTTCCAAAAGAATGTCTGCTTTATTTGTTGTTCATTTTATCCAGGGAGTCTATATTTTCCGGAAATAAATAAATGACAGTCAAAATTAAAGTGGCACTGTTTCAGTTTAAGAGAAGCAGTGAAACTGAGCGTTCATGAGTGGAGAAAAAAAATGTGATGTAAAGTTCAAGCACCAAATCAGCAGTGAAGTCGGGCGTTAAAACCAAATGGATGAGAGTGCCGCGGACGCTCAGTTACACCATCTGATGATGACATTTAAGGCACAAAGCCTTAAAATTTCTCACTGAGTCACAAAGCAAAACACCTACATAAAAGCTTCCCTGGCCACAAAGAATGTAGAACCTTTTATTTATTATTTTGAACGCAGTTGGTATTTTGTTCTTTGTTCAATTTAATCGTTACAGGAAAGAAAGATGTCGGTTACGTCTTTTTAGCAAAAATCTAAATCAAATCAATGTTTCTTTGTATGGCATATTTGAGCAGTAAGGCTGTCCAAGGTGCTTTACATAATAAAAACAGAAAAGTTACAGTCATAAGGAAGACACCATAAATTCAGCAAACTTCTCTATTCATCCTAATGTAATTCTTCTGCACCTCTTCTATCAGTTAAAACCTTTCCGTTGATGAGCAAAGACCAGAAAATATTTTCATATTCAGATAGAATCAAAAACACAAAATAAAACTCTAATTCTTTCATTATATTTATTTTTTCTCATTATTGTGTCATGCTTTTTATTTTCTATCTTTCTCATTTATGAAGCGCATCGACACATAACACTCTCTGCTTGCACTGAACATTTAATTTTGTTTCTGGGTCTATTCAGCTAATCTTAATGCCTTTATTTTATTTGTTTATATCATAATAAAATAAATAACTATAAATGTATTTTTTTCTGTATAGTACATCAAAAATGTATGGAAATTCAGTTCAAACACCGAAATAACTTGCTTTTCAATTAAATAAATGAAGGTTAAGAGTTTTCTACCTAATAAAAATAAAATTTGTAAAATAAAAAATAAAAATTACTGACAATGTTGAGCTGAAACTCAGAAACCTAAATTCATTTTTGAGTCATTACAAATGAAAAATCAGCTACATTCTTCTTCTTACTCCTGTTTTCCATTAATATCTGTTATTTTCCAACTTTTAACTTGATGCACTCAGTTTTTTACTCTTCACAGAAGCCATATCTTTGACGCCATTTAATTTAACGATGATACTTTTCACCTGAGCTACTGCTGGAAACAATATAATGTTCTCGTATCAGATAAATTATTTTTCTTTATAATAGAAAGAAAGTAAGATAGCATATAAAATGTATCCTTATTTCTGTATAAATACATTGAATTTCACACATATAGACAACTGTTTATTTGCAATCTAAGTTTCATAAAGTGCATGATAATGGTAGAGTGTTATTTACTGCATTTCAAGCAGCGTCGCTGACCAAAATATCCATCCAAGGTGCAATTCAGATTTCCCAGAAAGCCTCATCATAGTTCATCACAGATCATCAAGATTTGATGAATAAACAAGCTATGATGCCTGTTTACTGGAGTGAATGAGCTGACTGTCGTTGTGATTATTCCTTTTGCCTCATCAGTTTTTGATTAGGTCATAGCTTTCATATTTTAATGTTCCTTGCTACAATGCTTTTGTGAACAGTTTGTTTATTTCTTTGGTACTTCATCACAGAGAAGAGTGCATTTATACAGATCTGATTTTCTTATAACATGCAATGAAAGGGGAAAAAAGAGAACTTATGCTTTACATATGAACTTTGTACACTGGTGCAGCCTTTGTTGAAGGGTTGAGCAATCACAAGGCTCTCTGAGTGACAATATTAACAAAAGATTCTTGTTATATTCCACTTTAATACTTGCTCTTGCTTCCTCGTCACTGAGGGGCTGAAGGAACCGTAGACACTCTGAATAATTGGTCCATGTTTTGTTCCATTGCTCCACAAAGACCCAGGAACCGTTGACATCACACCTCCTGTAAGCGTGTCCTGCAAACGTAGACTCAAATTAGTGCAATTTCAGAGAATATTTGCAACACACTGATTACCTACACATCTTCAATTCAAACAATTTAGCATTTGGGGACAAGTGCTTTAAAAGTAACAAAATCTGATGTACAGAATTACAGAGACTTGAAAAATCCACGTATGAATAAGTACATAAAACTATAAAAAATATATTTTTGTTTGCTTTTAACTGCTTTTCCACTTGTTCCATCGTTTATTGTCAGTCAGTGTTTAACCTCGTCTCTGTCTTAGGCAAAACCACTAGCTGAGCTGTTGAGACTAACTAGAAATGCTCTCCTTCATCCCATGGACATTTTTGTTGAGCTGTGCTTCTCACCAAACTGAAACTACTAAAGAAGTTGCTGCTGCCATTTGCTCTTTGCTTTTTCTTAAACATTAAAGGTACTTCTACACCAGAGCTTCTGTTTCTTTTTTGTTTCTGTGGTTTGTCCACTGAAAGCTCTAGATGGTGATTCACATTTAGTCCAGTTCTGCTGGAGGTTTCCTCCTGTTAAACGTCAGGTTTTCCTCTCCATTGTCACCACATGCATGCTCAGTATGAAGAACTGGATCAGTGTGTGGAGGTAAAGAAGAAAATTGGGAGAATCAAGGCTAATGCACTGCAAATATTTCCCAGATGTGTAAAGTGCCTCAGGTAGAGCTATATAAATTACAAAAGGAGTAATGAATCTTTCTAATGAAAGACATCATTAGAAAGTCTTTTCATGTTGCTAAGGTGCAAATGATGCCAAGCAGATAATAAACACCTCTAAAACCCTCGAGAAACCTCAAAGCTGCCAGCCATACAACTGAGTCCATGCAACTGAACATTTATTTCAAGCACAGCTACAAAACTTCAACTGTGTGGGTGAAAAAAAAAACAAAGGTTTGCTATGATTCAGCAAAGGAACTTTAGGAGACCTTTTAATAAACAAATATCCCAGACCTTCGCACCAATAACTCCAGCTGTGCTTTTTTTATCATCCTTATTCCACAATGAAGTAACAACGTTACCTTCAGTTGATATAAAAATGCTACATATACATCAAATATGACTGAAGAGCAATATGGCCTCTGTCTCTTTAAGAAGCTTCTGCTCTTTCTGACCATCTGCCTTAATGCAGTTTACAGCCATTCTAAGGAATGTTTGACTGAGAAATAGTCTGGATGAGCTCAGCAGACTCAGTTTCACCAGTTGTTTACTGATTGCTGCTGCCGCTAGTCTGGAGGAGCTGAGTAGCAAGCCATGACTCCCTGCCACAGGAAATTCCAAGATTTTTTAATCATGAATCAAAGAACTAAAGCAATACATTAAGACGTTTGATGATATAAAGCTCAACAAGTCCATTTTACACAATACCTCCCCTTTAAAATGCAGATGCACATTCAGAGTTGGTTAATGCGAAATTACATAGCAGATTTGTTTGTGTTATTATAAAAAATTAATCCCTTACAGGTTTCTTCTATTTTTCTCACTCTTTCATCTCTGTTATGGATACAATTTTCTTCTTTATATCGAAAAATGTATTAAAAATATCCTTTTTTGTGTTTGTCTAGGGTATATTTGTCTATTTGTCATTATCTTAATGTTCTGAAACATTTAAGTGTGATAATCAACCAAAAAAATGATCAATCTTAATGGGAGAGCATACTTTTTTACTTTACAGTACCTTATTGACCAATTAAATAGTCAATTTTTTTGTCATTCCAGCACTTTGTTTCGTCACACGCAGCATGTCAGAAAAGCTGCATAAGTGCCTTCAAAGGACTTTTATGGAATCCAATTTTTTAGGCTTAACACGAAGTGTTTTCTTTCGCTTTGTAGATAAACCCATTAAATAACAAAAAGAACAAAGCATTCATCTTATCCAAGACCTCCGGGGGTCTTTTAAAAATTTTCTTATTAGATTTCAGGAGGTACTTTAGCACAAAGTGTTGGGCTTACAAGTGGTTGCATTACCGAATATCAGCAAAGAGAGGGTTCTGAATTTATCATTGCAGTCAGAGTTTCACATTCATACTCATTGCTGGTATAGAAGAGAAAGATTGTTAACCTTTGTGATTGAAGTCATAGATGTAAGCTGGGCAGGGAACCTTCATAATCTGCCCAGGTGAGCCATGAGGCCAACAAATAAGACCGTCCCAGTCTGGAGGGCACACGTCATCTGCAGCGAGAAGTCACACTTTTATCTATCTGGTCATAAATGAGTGTCAAAAACCATCAATCGATCCATATCCACTTATCGCTGCAGCCTGGAGTGTCTTTCTGGATGACTTAAGTTCTTTTTATCCAGTTAGAAAAATATTTTTAAAAATCAAGTTCAGGTGATAATTAAAACAATTAAATTTTGTTCACATTGACAGGCTTAATAAAAACAAAATTACAGCTCTGATTGGAGCCATTTTTTTGGATAAATGAACAGGATGCTAAATTAAATAAATGATGATTAGATGAGCTTGTGTCCAGCGCAATAAAAGACACATGTTGCACAGACCCATTAAACCCGCTGTGAATCGCTATTGTCGCAGCATCCTGCTGTGGGGAAAGTTGGACAAAAGCTGGGAAAGTGGCCACAACTGAGGGAACAAATAGATGCTAAATAGAGAGAATATGAAAATAATGCTTCAACCTTGGCAGGGTTGAAATATTCTACAGAAAATGCAGCTTGTGCAGCTGAGAAACTGAGAAAAAAATTATACTTGACATGCAATTGGCTTTCTTTTGCAAAACAGCCAATCCAGAAGTGACATTCATTTTTCTAGAGCTGACCGGCTAAACCCACAAGACCAACAAAATAAAGAAGAACATGAATATTAACTTTAGCTGAAGTGCCAAGAGGTTTTCCATGTTATATTATATTTGGTGTTTAACCCAATAAAATAGAGCATTTTAAGCAAATGTTAGGTATTCTTTAACCCATGCAAATGTTGGGGGTCCAGTGTACATACATTTTCACCTGATGAAAAAAAGAGGCATTCGAAAGTGAAGATAAAATTGTTATGCATATTGATGTCTTCTTTCACTGAGGTATCTGTTGCATATATTTTGATATATACTGCTTTAAAAAAATAAAGGGAACACTCAAACAACATAATATAACTCCAAGTAAATCAAACTTCTGTGAAATCAAACTGTCCACTTAGAAAGCAACACTGATTGACAATCAATATCACCTGCTATTGTGCAAATGGAATAGACAACAGGTGGAAATTATTTTCATATTTATTTCATTCATTCAGATCTAGGATGTGTTATTTGAGTGTTCCCTTTATTTTTTTGAGCAGTGTATATTTTGGTTAAGATAACTGATAACCTACTGAATGTATACTGATGGTAATGAAGCAAAGGTGGTTGCAAGAAGTCTAAAACCCATAAAAATAATAAATAAACCTCAAGAAAAAAGAATAAAAGTCTGCTTATGTTCAGGCAAACAGAGAGCCTGAAAGGTAAACTGATTTATGAATTCATTTATAGACGACTCACTTCATGCAAATGTTAGAATAAATCCTGATGATTAAAACTGTGCAGATTTATGGATTGGTATTTGTACCTGTGGTTGTTGGCTCCATACTGGACAGGTTCTGATAGCACCGCATTTTGACTTCATACAGGATGAACATCTGCTCCTGTGCAGAGAGAGGACTGTCGAACCCCATCTGTAAAGCACAAACAGAAAGATCAGCTCTCTGACCCCATGTCAATATAATATGTAAATAAACTGGAAGCATTGCATGAAATTTTAATAACATTTGGGACAACTAGGCATCCAGCATCTGCTTTGGGCAGATGCTGTGTGAAAACTGAGAAAAGACCACAGAGATCAGAAAGTAGTACAGATCTCATTTTTAACAAAAACCATAATCTTTACTAATGAGAACATGTCCAGTTATAGAAAACGTTATAATTTAGCTACTTTATGCTGTGATATTACTCTAAAATAACTCTGCAACCTAAATGTAGTGTTTTTCAGTAGGAACAATACTGCAGTGCATGAGCATTAAGAAATTAGCAAACTTAATGAATGAATTAAAGCATGCTCAGATGATTATCATCATTAATCTGGATTTAGCATGTTGAGGTTACAGTAAAACAAGATAAGAGATACATGAACTTGCATTGGTTGCAAGGTGGTCACATTTTTAAAATCTGACACTTAGAAACACAATAACTAAAACAGGAGCAATTTTTCTTTGCCATTGTGAGATTATGCTCTTGCTATAAAATAAAAAATTATATGCACCTTTTCCAGGGGTGCTACGGCAGACTTTGATGTTAATGAAATATTCACACCAAATTAGCATTGTTCCATATTGAAAATGAAGTAGTCTGTCATGACAAAAACCATTGTCTGTACTTTTATGTGGAATTGAGAGGTTTGTTTTAGTTGTGACACCAAAATGTCAAATTGATGGCTAATTTTCAAAAACAGGATGCATGCAAGAGCTTGATATTCCCTGCCAGGGACCATAAATGTCAGCACCACAGTGCCATCTTAGTCTTTCCAGTAATTGTGGAGAGATTTCACTTGGTACAAAACTGGATGATTTATCTGCAGCAGAGGTTTCAATCCCTCACCGAGAACCTCTTGAAGTCCTTAATGTAAATTTTTAGGTGATCTTCAACTATCAAAGATCATATGTTGTGTTATAAAACTCTTCAACTTAGAGAACACTTAAAAAAGAACAAAAAAAACAACAGCTAGCCTTTATTCCCCAGTAAGTTAATGTTTGACCCGTTCCAAAAGAAACATCCCAAATGTAACAGATCAGCCATTATCTGGCAACCCCAGGAAACCTAGCGACCCAGAGTTCCTGTACCTGTCGTCACATCTGCTCATTATGAAAGTAGAAGAGACCAAATCTCATAATCTAAGAATGACTTTGTGCTGAAAAATGTTTCAAACATTAAAGCCCATAGATCTCTCCTAACCTGTTCCAGGAAGCACTGTAGGTCACCTTTAATCTTACCAACACCTGGGTTATAATGTAGAACAATGATCATTAGCACAGCAGCAAATTTAATTCAGAATGTCAAAGCAGACAGAAACATTTTTGCCTGGGAGAAAAGGAGAGGAACTCCGTCACCCAGAAAATTCGGTCCAGATTGGGGGAGATAATTCAGATGGTTCTGTAAAGGATGTCTTCTGGACACCAATTGTTTTCCCGTGACAACCTCCTTTGAGGAATCCCAGCGGTATCCTGAGAACACCTTAGGACAACCCATAATGAGCTGGAGAGTGTAAATGGGAAAAGGGATACATGAACCTGCATTGAGCTATTACACCTGCAACCTGACTTCCAATAAAGTGAAGAAGATTGTCATGTTCATGATTCTTACACTTTTTTCATGTAGAAATTACATAATACTCTGTACTCTTGAAGTAAAACCCAAGTCATTTAGCTGTTTAAACCCTAGAAGTGAAGACTACTTCACTGATAAAATCCTGGAAACTGTGTCTATGTGGTGTCAAGTCTTTCACTTTGCACAAATCGTGTTCAAAAGAATCCCAGGTGAGGAAGTTTCATATTATCAAAAATTTCACATTCTTCAGTAATACAGAGGCATGTTCATTGTTCAAACTGTCCTAATTTTCCTCTGCGTAGGTTTTTAACTTCATACCGCAAGCCATTATTGATTCATCGGCTCTCAGCACCTGTCAGGATGTCTTGGTGCTGGGCTAAATCACCAAGACATCACAACTGGGCTAAATCAAGATTACAAACCCATGGAAATTTAAGTAGGTCAAGTACGTCTTTATGTTTCTGACAGTTTCTTGCACTTTTGCTACAATGCTGAGGACCTGGAATGAAGCATCAGTGTTTATCAGTTCTTTTGATTACTCTTCAGTAATTTCCTATAATAGCAGAAAGTTCTCTGGAATGTTGAAGTAAAGGACAATTAATGCTTCAATGATTTCTGAAATTAGAAGCAGCAAATGTGGCAAAGCTAAGACCATCACTCCCTTTGGTCTCATTATCGTTTTTGCCGTGTAGCTGGAGGGTTTTCTATTTACACACAGAGACATGACTGCCATGCAGACGTAAACTATGTTTGTTTAAACCTCGAAAGATCAATTAATCTTAAACACTTTCTAAGGCTAGGCCAACTGATGCAGTTCAGAGCATGTTAATATAATTATTCATCAAACTCAGTGCTCATAAACATTTAGTAATGTTGCTATTTAATTATCTTGATCAAAACACTTGAAACTTGAACTATTCAAAGCTTTGTTCAAATGTTGGTGCATACTTCTATGCAGCTTTTAAATCAATCCAGTCATTATCTCTGAATCTGTCCAACCATTCATTCAAACAAATCCATGCATTTACCAATCCAAGACACATCCATCCATCAATCCATCCGCAGGGAGAAGTCCATTTTCACTTGTCAGGGTGCTTTCACACCAGCCAGGCAATTGGCGAGGGACCAAAACTGAAACATTTGCTAGTTTTTCAGCTCGTGTGGTTCATTTGCATACTGCATTGTGCCAAACGATTCAGAACCTTTAAATGGTGGCGCTGAACTACTGACAGAAACGACACACGAGCACAACTTGCTTCTTCACAAAATTAAAATAAAAGTGAAGTGTCATGAAATTTTAGTGGTTGTAGAATTTCTCTTTTGACCACAAGCTTTTTCTCCCGCTAGCACATTTGTTTTGATTGTTGTTCATCCCCAGAACACCCTGCACTATAGATCATACCTAAATGAGCATCAACTGGCATAAACATCTCCAAATAGATATGTGCAATGTGCATGGTGTAGGTGTCATTTATATATTAACAGTTTCCGAAGAGCTCCTTCGTTCCATCTAATAATTATTTTCATGCTGCAGTTATCTTCAACTATAAAACCGCATCCTTCAGAAACAAACTGCATGAGAGCTTGATTCCTTTACAAGGGGTGTTCCACCAACAAAAGCTCCCGATAGACACTAGAGAACTGAACACAAACTAATATTTGCTGCTTGATCACCATGGTTCTACACAGCCACGCTGGGAAGGTCTCCAAAAAGGTAGAGGGGGACAAAAACCCATCAGGAGTCATTTCCTGAAAAAAACATAACAGCTTCAAACAGAGTTGAAAAGAAAAAGCACAAAAAGCTCTGCGATGCTGTATGTGGATAAAGTTTCTCTGAGGGAGATTTTGGGAAATAACTTACTGGTTTTAAAACCTAAAGTACCTTTAAAAACAACATTTACCCCAAAGGTTAATTCCTCAAAGATGAGAAGAGGGACACTGTAAATTAATTTAAAAGCAACAAGAAATGGACTTTAAGTAGGTGAGGTAACAATGCAAATTCTCACATAAATATTTGAGGTAAAAGTAAAGAATTTGCAAAATGTGGGTAGGAAACACAAACTGTGAGGAGGTATGCAGTTTGGCTTTCCTCCCTGTTAGAGTTCTCTGCAATCTGGACAATGTGTGAGATGTTCACCAAAGGATCCACAGGATAGATGGTGGCCCTGTTCTAGCTAAATTTAGTCTCAGCTTTTAGACATTTAGTCAAATGCGGCAACTTTTAGAAACATTATTTTATTTCCATATCATAATTCTGCACCACTTTATGTTGGTCTGTCACATCAATTCCCAACAAAATACAGTAAAGTTTATGTTCATATTAGGGAGAAACAGTGTTCGAGTTTCAGGGGTATGAAAACTACTCCTGAAACTGTAACAGTTATTGTGATATGATGAGCTTTATATCATCAAAACGTATAAAATGGTGTAAAATGGAGGTGATATTCAGAAGTTGAAGTCTAAATACGATGCTGACACAGCTCAGAAAACAATTCAGAAAGCATCTTAACCCGTAAACCTTTTTGTTTTTCTGCTGTACGTTATCCATTGATTTTAACAAACCTTTCATGCATTTAGTGCCTGCAGGAGCAGCGTTAGCAAAGCAGACCCGCAGCGTGACTGCAACATGTTTTTCTGTAGAGTAGATCATTTCTTATTTACAGTCCTTATTTTGTTTTTCTTCCAATTTGTGCCACGTTTTTCTCTCTTCCTGGTTTCAGATAATTATTCAGATATTATTTGCTTTGTTTTCTGATTTCTTTTCATAAAATGATTTCCACGTGTTTAAATCTGTGGGCTCAACCTTTAGGAATCAGACTGAGAAAGAAAGACCAGGGTAGAAGTGATGATGAATCTGTGAAAGTTTTCTATCTGGTGCAGAGAAGGTTAGAGATGATTTGCCCGAGAAATCCGAGTTTTTTAATTAATCAATCACTGGGAATGTCAACGAGCAAAAAAATTATTATAGAATGCCAGAGATCATCTGCTGATTAATAAGCAAACTTTTTAATCTATGCAGACAAACAAATATATAATGTACAATGATGTTAGATGGAAAATATGTATGCCAGTACGGCCTGACTGTTTAACCAGGATGCAAATCCCATCACATACAAAAGGTGGTTGACACCTTTAATGGTGTCAAGCAGGGTTTTATTACTGGATTTTGTTGTTGAATACCATTCAAACGTTCTTTATTAGCAAGTATATATATACCCACTGTGACAGATTGGCGACCTTTCCAGAACGTTTTGCCTCTCGCCCAAAACGTTCCCTGGAGTTATGCACCAGCACCCCTTCTGACCCCACTAGTGACAAGAGTGTACAGAAAATGGATGGATGGATATATACCCAGTTTTCAGTGGGCAATTTTAAAAAGAGAGTACTATGCATTTAAGGTGCCTAGAATCCAAAACAATCAAGACACTGTTACCTTGACATATCAGAAACAACTTAAAGAAAATTTGACTTTGTGTCACAGCCATATCTGACTCCTTAAATTAGTCTCTGTCTCTTTAAGAACCTCCTACCATTTCTGACACTCCCCCTTCATGACATCATCACAACAACTCTTCTGCCTTCCACTGATACTGTCTATTAAAGCATGATACAAAGCTCAAAAGAGTTGGTTTTGCGTAATACTCCCCCCGACCCCTACTTAGGATGTTTGCTGAAATCTGGTCTTTTTCTGATGAACACTTTCCTCCAGATACAATATACAGAAATACTGTAAGGCATCTGTTTCTGTGCATGACTGAACTGAAGAATGTAATATATATTTATATATGTAAACTTAGACAATAAATATTAAATTAAATTAAACAAGTTTTATTTTTTTTTATGCATCTTGAATATTTTTTAATATGTTGTGGTATAGTACACTTCTCTAATTTGAGATGTGCACGCCGATTTTACTCTATCTATAGATTTTGAGTGAAACAAAGAGAGAAATGGGTCTGTTTTTGAAATCATTTCATTAGAGGAAAGAAATTTCAATATCAGGGCAAATATACTTTTTCAACAAATCTAGAAATTAGAAAAAATGGAAAAAAGTGGGATTTGGATCAACAGAAATCAACATTAGCAGGTTTAAAAAACAGAGATTAGTATATATTTATTTGAAATAAGTCAAAAGTCAAACATAAAATAAAGTTTTATTTCCATGTGATTCCTGTAGAAATGTATCTGCCATTAACCAAAACCAGAAGCTATACATCCATGCTCTTTTCCAAAGTTTATTGGATTAAAATTAAATCTCCTCTATTTATTTACATTTTGTTTCTATGTATTTCATTGATTTGGACCTTTATTCTGTTATTAATCAATTTGACATTTGTATAGTGAAAATATCCCCTTATGTAACATTGCTGTAATATTTAGGAGCATTGTTTTCATTCAGAATGAGAGGATTTGGAACAAAAAGACCTGTGAAAAAACAGTGGCAACCAATTTGCAGATTGAAATAACCACTTTGAACCTCTCCAATCGCTCTCTTGGCAGTGACTAATTCAGTAGAAAATCCAGTGATTCACACGTCATCATGTGTCACCATTTTGCCTAATTTCCATACATCAATGTCCTGAGATTTTTTTTTTCCTGTGGAGCTCATTGCTATCAGTGTTCAAATAAATCACCCTAACAGTGTCTGCTATCTCTGTACCTCAGAGAGGCACTTGGGTGTAGACTCGATTAAGGTCGAGCTGCAGATAACTTTTAGCTGGAAAAGCAGAAATATGTTGCTTTACCATATATAGATGCAAGCTGGATTTTCTGAGGTAATTGCTTATTTTCCAAATGGCACTAAAACATTGTGATTCAAAATGTATCTAATTGGTGTTGCTTTCGTCCTCGAAGACTCTGTAAAAATGTGAAAAGATGCTTTAAAGATCAGCAAATGTGTCTCAGAGTCCTCATTAAAAAGGACTATCAAAATGAAGCACAACAGTTGTTTTTATATGGTATCTATGAAGAATATGCCATAAAAATGGTCAATTAAAAAAAGCTGTAAAAAGGAAGAAATGCTTAAATAACTGGAAAAAATGTCCACAAATAAATGTACATAAAAGCGATAACATACAATATCAAACGTCAAAGTACATAATTAGGAAAAAATATATAAATATGTCATATTTCATACAAATATTACAATTTGAATAGTCTATATCTTCTGCTGTAGATTTTAGTGCCTATGTACTAAAATCATAGGCACTGAGATTTTAGTGCCTAAAATCATTAATCTTTAATCTTTAAAAAGAAAGTGATTTAAATCACTTTCTTGATTTAAGTGGTTTTAGTCCACCACAGAAGTGGGGAACACAAATGTGAAACGATATAGAATAAAATACTTAAAAAATATTAACATTGTGTAAAAAAAAATTGTTAAAGAAATGCAAATGAATAATGAATGAAACAACTGACATTTAGGAAGGTAAGTAGGAATGTTGAACTGGAGTTTAATCATGGCAGAGCACATGTTTGAATGAATCTCTTTGTTGCATTGTTTTAACTGTGTATCTATTTTTAATGCCAGTTCTTTATTTTGACAGTTTCAGAGCTCCATACAGGCGCAGCGGTGAGGGGAGGCTATTTATTCCGATGACTCAATGCTAGGCATATATATATGCCTATAAATGAATAAAGATTATTTTTCTGATAAGTTATTAACAGGGTTTCACCATAGCTCAAGAAAAACAGAGGCAAATAACAGAGTTTCTTACCTGTGCTTCAACCCAAATCCAATAAATTAAAAAGTTAAAGATCCACAAAATAAAGTTCACAGTTCCTCGGGCTTTCAAAAGCATTGCTAAAACTGAATCCTCCGTGATGTCAGCGCATCCTTACATCAAATCTTCACATCACTGCAAAGTTTCGCCCGAAGTTCCGTTTGGAAACCCGAGCCGCGGCAGGTGGATTCATCAAATCCTAAAATTCCCACTTCGCTCCAGGCGCACGCAGGATTCCCAGAAATAAACTCCCCCTGCTCCTGGAGAGCGTGCAGGACCCCGTGACTGCTGCCTCTGCAGAGGAAGAGACCCCGCCGGACTCGGGCTGGCTCCCGAGGTCCCCGTTAACCCGCTGATGTGGTGGCCAGCGAGCCGCATGCAGAGCTGGAATAAATGAGCTCCACTTTCAGGCGGCAGCACATTTCCATGTGTCATGAATCACTTCATAGGGTGGTGGGCATTTTCTCCACGGAGCACCTACTGCAGCCAACCTGACTCCAGCAAGTCACCATGTGACGTGTGGTGGAAGCTCCTCTCTCCCCATCGGTTTTACCTCACTGAGGAAGCGCGCATCTCTGATGCCCCCAAAGGAAAACTGAATTTAGACCTCAGGTAGTACTCTCTTCAACTTGCAAGCTGTTTTTCAGTCCCATCCAAAACTATTCCAAGAGCAGCAACAGGGATAAATTATTTATTATACAAACACTGGTTTGCCTTCATGGTATATATAGCATGGATACCACATTTTATCACATTGCGTCCAAAATATTTTATGTCCACCAGCTTTTCTCATCCAACACTGAAATTATATTTCCCATTCTTCTTTGCAAGGTAGCTCAAATTCAGGAAAACTGATTCACAACTCATCCTCATTTAGATTTAGGTTTGAACTTTGACTAGGTCGTCACAACACGACTATACTTTCATCTAAGCTGCAAATTATCAATTAATGAGTGAATGATGTGTCTATAGTTGATTGAGCTTATTGATGAATTGATAAGCAGCTACTTTCTTAAATTTCAAGTTTTTGCTTGAGTAGAGGTTTGACGGTATTTTCATAACATAAAGAGTTAAATTTGAAAAAAGAAGTATATTAATGTATATTAACAATTTCAACTTAAGTCAAGCCATGAAACTTAAGGAGCTTGTCGAGTACTTATATTTCAAACCAGAGTCTCACATCGAGCTCTTTTTGGGCCATTTACCTTTTCCGTTCGGATGTGGCCCCGCCATCTCTATTTATGTATTTTTCCAGATGACCAGTAGTGCCCTCTATTGGATGGTGGCCAAACTACAACTCTAAAAGAAGGTCTAAGTTATTAATCTATAGAATTTATTTTAATCTAGCAAACCATAAATCAGAATCAGTCAATTGCTTGCATCTCATCCATTTTACTGCAGATTTAGAAGATGTTTAGACTAATTTCCTTCCGGATGGTGAACTTTTCACCCCTGCCTCTAACTGGTTTTCTCCCAGGATTACGTTCTATTTAACTCCTTCCATACATCCTCTAACTGTGATGAGCTTTCCTGTCGAAAAGACAACTGACCACAGCTTGAAGCCATCAGCAGGAAGTTAATGATGACTTACATGATTCAAGAAATTTTAAAACTGAAAGAAAAAATCATATACTTTATCACTTCAAAATGTGGGTACTTTACAATCAAACCATTTCATAGAATTGAGTGATTTTTAGATGTTATAATGTGACTGATATTACAAAAAGGTTTTGTCTCCTACTCTGTTTTTAGAGGATTTGTAGCTCAGATCTTGAGTTTGCTGTGGTCAAAATCATGCGTATTTATTGCTAAAAGCAGCTGGATGGTTTTGGGTCCATGTTTTGGAGCACTTTGCATGATACTGTGAAGCACTGCCCAGTCTCTGTGGCTGAATCTAAGCAGGAAGTGAATCCCTGTCCACCTCAAGAGATATCCAGCTGCTTCAGTCTATAAACGCCTGACCCAGTGCCACTGGACGTAATGAGTGTCCTTTCCATCACTCTGCCATGTGTGTGTCTGACACTTTAGATCATGACCTGTGTTAAGCCTTCATTATAACTTCTTCTGCGTCCTACCACAATCTTGTATTGGTTTCACTCCTTAGACAACTGTTCCAGAACAAATCTTGTGTTTTCTTGTTTTTGTTTCCACCCTTATTCTTTTCAATAGGAAAAATCTGTTTTCTCTGATCTGTTATCAAACTTCATCATTGGAGTGTGGGTGTTAATTTGGCCACTCTTAATGTTTCAGATGGATGTTCTTTGTAGCAGCTATTTCTCTTGCAAATAAAGGTTGGGTTTTACAGCAACAGTTTCCAAATGCAATTGGGAATCTTGGAACCCACCAGATTTGTAGCCTGCATAAATGAAGAGAAGCTTACAGCTGACTGCAAGACTTTCTTCTATTCCAGCTGTCTGTTGTAGTTTTTTTTTTTTCAAATTTTACACAACAAATATTGTCTTCAGTTTGTATTCAACAATCCCAAGATAACAGTTCACCACTTTTATTTCCACATATTTTTTTGACAAGCCAAAGTCTTCAGATTCGCTGGCAGATCTCTGTTTTTTATGTTCAGTATAGTTAAGAAATTGGTAAATTCTTTTTATTTAGCAATTGCTTTTACATACATCCTTTTGTGCACAATGTTTTTACAGCTGTTCCTTTTGAAGAAATCTGTTTTCTATTTGTGGCATAGCAGGTCACTGCAGGAAGGACATCCAGAAACTTGACAGATGCACACAGCTGGATTGTAAAGAGGTGCAGAAAGTAGCAATGATTATACTTCGTCCCAAACCTCATTAAGGCATTAATTGGATATTAGATGAAGTGACAAAATGTTACTTTGCATAAATTCACCTAAAACACAATAGAAGTTAAGCAATTCATGCAAAGCAATTTTACAATTAATCATAAATCATTTTAATTCTTTTAATCTAGCCATGAATGCCTAAATTCTTTTTTTTTTTCAGGGTCAAAGTATGATGCACCGTACTGTCAAATCAGCACACAACACAACTGCAGCTGCTGATTTGCACTCTTTACATAATACAAGATACTAGAACTAGATCAAAACTGAAAAAAAAATATCCAACAATTGTTTGTTTTGAACAGAGAAACAGTGGTCCGGAATAGGGAGGCAATGCATTTGAAAATAGCTCATTCACTCTGTGCAGTTGTTAGCACCTGAGGATAAAGGATCCAATTAAATCACAGCAAACACCTGCTACCACTTTACACAGACATTAATTCCAGATTAATTCTGTTATCTTTTGATTTAGGCAACTAATGATGCCATTTTGTTCTATTCCAATAGGGGAAAACAATTTAGATAATACTGTTAACTCCAAACATTTTAAGATAAAACATCATTAAATGTGTACTAATAGAAAGACAATCAGCTTGTGTTTTCAACACACATGTAGCTCAGTTTTCATTAAAGATTAAACTCATACTTTTGTCTTTCTTTAATAATGCATTTTACTGTTTTAGGCTGACTAAGCTTTCCTGTAGTAGGGTAGCTAAACATGACAGACAATAGGATCAGCTATTTCAAGGCATGAGAAACAGCAATGTTTCTGCAAGAATTTTTAGTTGTTGGTGTCTGCTATTTTCAGAAAAGTTTCTTCCAATTATTTGCATAGAAGAGAGTTGCACAAATTGCATTCAGACTGTGGTAGAGTAAAAGTTTCTCCACAGTCCGTGAAATGCTCTGCTCTTACTATTATAATCAAGCACTCACCTGCATGGCCGAATTTCATTTCTTCTCAAGTTTTTTTGGTTAAGCAGCAAAATACAAATGATTTTCTGTTGGAAATTCTTCCAGTAAGGGCTCTGCTATGTATCTCTCAGACAAAAAGATAGCCTGTGCCACAACAATCAGCTTTTTAGTTTCAGTTCATCTTGTTGGTTTGGCCATGTCTCTACAGCAGAACAAAGCTTATGAAATAAATACGTTGCACTGGATCCCAACGGCCTCCGGATGTGGTTTTTTGTGTTGTTTGAGAAGATTTCACTGAGGGGAAAATATGCACTGGTTGAAAGTAAACAAGAATACCTATAACTTATCAGTGCAGTGTGAATGGTGTGGGGGGTTTTAAGACATTTGTTAACAAACTTTTAGGTGTGAAAAAAGCAGCATTCAAGGCCAAAAATTATAGTTTCCCAATGGTGATTTTATGAAACGGAGAAAGATATTAAAAAGCTAAATCATTTGAGATGTCCCCCATCTGTTTCTACGACCATGAGGTTGTTAAAGCATTCAAAGATGTTCCACATTCACTGGAGGGATTTTTAGACATAGGTGACATATCCTGAGGTAGCATCAACATGCTAGTCGGTCGACATGCTACCAGCAGACTAACATTTAAGCTACAATTAGCATTTTAGCAAATGTTTATATAAAAGCTAATATTTAAAAACTAAATGGAGTCAATGCGAGTAAATACCCTAACCCCACATACGACTGATAGTGTCAACATGCTAGTGATAACCTCTAGTTAAAATGCTAATTAGCATTTTTGAAATAACAGCTTAGCTTAGGTGTTATTTAAAATGGAGAAAGCTCATTTTAGTCAGCGTAGTGACAGCCCACATGCTCATGACAGCATTTTAGCTAACCTTAGAGTTTAAGATCATGTTAGCTTGTACACCAATGTTTTACTGAGACAGCAGAATGGTTGAAAAGTGAGATGCTTGAAATGGCACAAAAATGGAAGGATAGGTTGAAGTCCAAATGGTTCACATAATTAAAAGCCTCAAAGTAATAAAACATTCATACTTATGGGGAGAATATGCTAACTTTTGCTATATTGCAAATTACTATGCTGGACAAGTTGTATTTGCAGATATTTTATCTACAATCCCATGCTTATTATTACACCAAACAACTGGCATAAAAATGAAGAAAGAAATCCACTCATGAAGTAAGTTTGCCCCCTGAAATGACATGAAGTGACTCATCACAATGTTTATCCCAGTGTGACCCTTTGTGCTGCATGTTAAGGAGCCTCGATGCTGAAGGATCTGTCCCTGGTGTGTACAGTGCAGCAGGAATACTATCCTATGTAAAGCCCTATTTACTGCTACTAAAACATTTATGATACCATTTCTTTTCCCATCACCATGACATGCTGTTTCTGCTGTGAACAGGTTCTAATTTAATGAGGACGCATCACTTTACTCTCATTGTCATGCGGTGCCAGCAGTAGAAAAAGGATTCTTGTTCAGCTGCTCTTTAAAAACAGGATTTTAAACGGTTTTTAAAGTCTCAACTCGGGACTGAGCACTCAGTGCACATGTGGGCAGAGACTGCATGGTGATTCATTAATGAGTTAACGGCAGAATATCACGCTGTGAACAGCATTATGTTCAGATTGTGATCACTGATGGCATGCAGCTGTCAAATTGGGATCTGAGGGCTAACATTACCCTGGAATGGTTTGTCAGT